AGAGTTACGAATAATGATATACTGAATTGACAAGTGATGAGAGGAAGAATATATGTGGGGAGTAAATGCTTGTGGGAGTAAATAATTCTGCAAAGAGGGTGAATTGTATTCAATGCAGAGGTGCATAAGAATGATATTCTACGTCTTCGACAAAAGGGGGACATTATTTGTAGTAAGAATGCACTTTCGACCCGAATGAATTAGCAATTAGATGTTTTCTCTTTCTGTAGTCATTCGAAGCCGTGATTTTGTAATGAACATTGAAGGCATGGAAGGAAAAAAGAGATCAAATGCATCATGCCAGCACAGAAATAGTGGATAGTAAAAAGCATGGAATGAAATTAAATTAAAATTATTCAAATGTCATTAAAAATTTAGTATATCTAACAATCTAGATGGAACGAAAGATGATTATTTATTTATGGATCAGAAAGACACTGATCGTGAAGGTGAAGCAGAATTCGATGATGTGCTTGAAGATAAAACGGAAGACGAATATGACGAACTTTTATGTTATCAGATAATAAATTTTCCATGTTATCAGATAAGGAAATCTTAAAGTTTATAAGGAATGCCGTTTCTTTTAAACAAAATGATGTTATCACATAAGGAAAATCTTTAAGTTCACAAGGAATGTCATTTCTTTTAAACAAACGACATTTACGTGCACGTAGAAATATAGTTTTTGCATTCTCATCATTTCCTTAGATATAAATCTCAATTTCATATCCGACGCGTAATACGAGGGCTATTTGCTTAAGGTGAGGGATGCCTTCGTGGAGGACTTTCTAACGGAAACTGGCTCGTATATACGTTACACATGGGGAAAAACGGCCATGCAGCTAGCCCGTTCGCGGGATTCGGACCTCGGACAGAACCTTCAGTGTTCAGCAACTTTATCGCTCGGGCGCTATTGGGTGTCGTTATACGCTGGAATTTACGGTATAAGAGTATAAAATGACATAAAAACTGTGTTTTAAGTATTACTTATTAAATGTTGGGATACTTAATAACGTTCGAACAAATGAAAAAAAGTATTAATAGTTCGTTAAATTGAAAAATTATGATAAAATTTATTACGTGTACTATAATTAAAAAGTGAAACGTTTAGAAAAACGAATTTGAAATCCTTGAACGGTACGTGAATGAACTGAGAACGGTACGTGGGCCGAGAATACTTATGAGCTTCACTCATGGGCCCGATTGCCAAAATATTACATTATATATATACATATATATATATATATATATATATATATATTTATATATATATATATATATATATATATATATATATATATATCTATATATAATATATATATATTATATATATATATTATATATATATGTAATAATAAAATTCCATAGTCAAGAATACACTTAAAATTCTAACTGTACGTTCTTTTCATTTTTAATGGCGATCGTCTCTTATTTGAAAGTACGTGGAATTAAATCCACAGCCCGTAGTCAAGTTGTTTTTCCCACCTTTTCTACACGTACAGTTTTAGAATGTTCTGGAGATATTTTAAAGCGAACTGGATTGGCTGACGAGGCTGACGTCATTTCTTGGAAGCTCCGCCTTTCCAGAGGCTATAAAAGGACTGGCAGAAGGAATATCGGGGCTTTTTCTTAAATGTCACGATGCAGAAAACTTCATACAAAAAGTTATTAGTAATTCTTTTTATTTACTTCGGATATCTGATCTTTGTAACTGCTATTTCTCCTGAATAATAGTACCGTATATACCCGCGTATAAGTCGATACCGCGTATAAGTCGATCCCTCCACTTCGACATAAAAAATTAGTAGAAAATAAAAAACCCGCGTATAAGTCGACCCCCCACTTCCGAAATCGATCGAGAAACTTAGAAAAAAAAATTTTAAGTACTACATTTATTCAAAATCATCTGAGAAAAAAAAGTAAATATACGATAAAAAATACCTTGGTAAATAAACAAAATCAAAATCCTTCAACGTCAGATTCATAGTCAGATTCGCCAAACATTTCATAGAACTCTTGTGTCGTCATTGGCTCGTCATCATACATTTTTTAAGTCTCGACTCTGTATTGTTACAATCACTACTAGACGTGTACGCCTGTTAACAAAAGTATTCATGAATGAACAATAACTATTATAAAGACTTATAGTACGTAAAAACTATCTGCATTTCTCTTTTCTTGGCGTGTTGACGAAACTTTTTTATTGCTTGATATTGATCGGTTGTTCGGGGGCTGAAAATTCTTTGGTTGTTAATCGAAACTTACTCTAGTTAAAGTATAAAACTCTGTGATTAGTTTGTCACATAATTTAAGTCATGAAATTACTTCAAGTAAGTGACTTATTTGATAAGTCGTCCAATTTGAGTGCGGGAAGAAAACAACTGCATTATATAAAGAAATTTTTGAACTTCCAATTCTTTTAATTTTTTATGGCCCCACGTATAAGTCGACCCCCCACTTTGAAGTCTTTTTTTTTTTTTTTGTCCAAAATATCTTGACTTATACGCGGGTATATACGGAAAATGGATCCTGTTTTTTAAACTTATCGTCTGATTATTTAAACTCGACTAAATCTGATACATCACACACACACACACACACATATATATATATATATATATATATATATATATACAAGGTGTATGAGTACGGCGGCGACAAACTGTCAGGAGAGATAAGGAGGAGTACACCTAAACGATGGGAAATCACATAGGAATGCATGGTCGAAAACGCTTTTCTGGCGCGGGTAGTGACGACACAAAAGTCAAGAAAGAAAGGATACGAACGGGATGAAAAAATATGTTTATTATTCGTAGTACAATAAAAACAAAAGGAAATTAACATAAAGAGACAACGATCATCATTAAGGAAGGTGTTCGAAAATACGACTCAGACCGGGATGAGGGAACCGTGCGTCATGCATCTTCCATGCAATCTTCCATTCGTGATGCAGATCTTCCATGCGCCAGAGACGTAAGACCTGCATCACGGTCTGGGGTCATAATTTCGAATTCCTTCTTTGATGACGATCGTTGTTAGTCCAAAGGGGCTTTCTCCCTGAAGAACTACTTCGTTTTGCGATTTTGCAACGGAACCCCATAAACGGTGTATTACTTTTCAAATCGTTGTCAGCAAATACTATCACCCTGTATTATATTTGAAGAAATTAAATAATGAAGAATCTGCATAAATTTATCTATGTTTCTCGTATTGTGATAACACAACGGACCTAGAACTATCCAATTTTAATTGATGTAATCCTACTGCGAATATGGGCGTCTGAAAGCCCAAATTTGAAATTTGGAATTTGTTTTATTATCGATTTCATATTTTGTAAAACTTTAACGAATTTTTGATTAAAAACTCAACGATTTAAAAGCGATCAATGGCAACACTCTACGGGGGGGGGAACCTTTTAATCTCCAGCGCGCGCCTCCCTCCATAATGTAACATGAAAATCTAGAGGAGCGAAGCCTATGGGAAAAGTAAGAACACAGTGGCAAGTCTATTTAACATTGAGTTAATGGCTATCTTGCCAAATTGGCGAGATATAGCCAAGCTGGCAACGGTTCTGGCGACTAATTTTTGTCGAAGAATGAGAAGGGAACGTTCAGGGCTAACGTTCGCAGGTAGTTTGCGAGAGTTTATCCTTCTAGCAAGACGAAAGCAATAACTACATGGATAATCTATTTTAAAATTTACGAGAGCTCGTTCTCTAAAGGCATTGAGAAAGGGAGAAATTACACGAATACATTTTTAATTTTCATAAACTTGTCCTAAAATGCTAGGTAGAATAACATTTGTTAGGAAAAACGGTATACTTGTGCAATTCAGTTTATCATTCAGTTTAACGAGTTTATCATCATCGTATATTAAGAGCAAGGGTGTGAAATTTATAAAAAGTGTTTTAAAAGACAAAATTACGAGGTGCGACATAAAAAAAAAATGAGACTAAGTGTGTAGCTTGAAAACTGAGTGGAGTCGGCAACAACTGTTTTGGTGACGTTATGCCACACATCTCCTCTATCCATGCGGCCAGTTTCGACTTAACCGACCACGCCAGTGGCAAGTACTGCGACATTGACGGAATGCGTGCAACTGCATTCTGCTGGGAAAATGTCTAATGTAAAAACCGAGCAGTGAATGAACATCAAGTTACTTGTGAAACTTAAGAAATGAGCCACGGAGGAAAAATCTCAAATGTTAACCGAGGCTTATGGAGATGAAACTTTGTCTCATGCAAGTGCGTTTGAATGGCATAAGCGGTTTTCAAGTAGGGCAAGGGACACTGTGGAAGATGAATGAACGTGCTGGGCACCCCCTTGGGCGCTCAGCACGTTCATCATGATTGAATGGGTTTTCAGTGGTCAGACTGTTAATCAACACTACTACGTTGAAGTACTAAAAAGACTTCCTGAAAAAATTACGGAAAAAAGGCCATAGTTGAGGAGTTATGGATGGCTGTTGCACCAGGACAATGAACCCACTCACACGGCCATATCTGTGAAGCAGTCTCTGACCAGCAAAAACATTACTGTGATAGGGCATCCTCCTTATTCACTTGATTTGGCTCAATGCGACTTTTGTTTTATTTCCTAAAGTTAAAACTTACTTAACCCATTTTTACCTCAGCAAAAGAGGTTCAGGCAAAAACGGAAAATCTTCTGACGGGCCTTCCAAAAACTTCGTTCCAGATCTGTTACCAGCAATGGCAGCAGCGAATGCAGAAGGGAACTACTTGGAAGGTGATAATGTCACGGATAACTGATTTTGCAAGTACAATGATTTATTGGACCAGTCTCGATTTTTTTTATGTTACACCTTGTATTTTGGTTTAAAATTTCAAAAATAAATTTTTAAACAAAGTTTTCCTAAAATCCATTTTTTTCTTTATATGAATTATGCTTTCCATGTGCATAATATAATTAAAATAATTATCAGTCTTTAGCTTTTATTTATTTTGAAAAGTTCTGATACAGATATACATTTTTCAGTTACAAGAGGAGAGTGGATCGCAGTTTGTATTCATCCTTCTGGCCTCGGAAGACCAGCACGAACTTCACTGCACGGTAAGTTCTCCTTTTCAACATGATTTCCCAATTAGCCCAAATTCATGGAGTAATCTAGGATGATGCTGACACAATGATTATTAAGATTACTATTTTTATGGAAAATGTTATATTAAATAGAAACAAATTCAATGGGAATTAGGACACAGGTGGCCTTCATGAAATACCAGAGTCGAGGCTATGTATTTCTTCACCTGAGGCGAAAAGCTGAATTATTCCTTTGTTAAATATAACCCATGCTTTCAATAAATAGTTAAAAAGCGTTATTTTGTTAGAAGTGGATGATACATTTGCGCAAACAATTTCCAGTATCTTCACGTAGAAATAAACGAATATAATACTAAGCGCCTTAAGATAACAGTTGCCGGTAAAAAAAATGGTTTTATTTTCTGTACGAGACCATCCTGCTAAATTATAGTATGTGAATTTCAACTTGCAGGAATGATATTAACTATAAATTAGGCCTTTAGTAAATGCAATGTTTGTTTGAAATAAAATATTAAAATAAATTTGTAATCAAATCATTATCGGTAGTGCTCTGAACAGACCAATTAGACTAACTGGGAATGAATCAAAACACGTTCAAGGAAAGCAATCTGGCTTCTTGTTTGACTGTAGGCTTTAGTACATGTTATCTAACCCTGTTTACAATAAGCTAACCAGCGCAAAAGCAATGGAGAAACAGAATAATGGTTAACAGATGCAAATAGCTGCTGCTAGTGAAATTATGAGCCAGCAGTGTTCAGTGTTGTAGTCAAACGTTATTTTTGTGTACATAAATGTATTCATTTTTAAAGGAAGATAACTCTGTTTAAGGAGCTGTGAAGGGAAACAATAAACCCTAAGAATTGGGCAGCATATTATCCCGAACTATATCCAATAGAATATGCATGAACTAACCTTGGAAGTGCATTACAGAATCCTCCGCACTCCAGTGAGTTTTAAAACAGGTAGAGTTATATGGTTTTTCATAATGACCAAACACATTGCGTTTTGTTTCTGTCTATTTATTCTCTTTACATCAAAAATGTGTATTTCTTCATGCATTTAGATATTTAGTTAAGTTTGTTCTTAATATTAAGATATTCTGGAGCATGATTTGGCACAAAACGTTGCCTATGAAAATTTGCTGTAGCTTAATTTCTGTACATTACTGTCGGTAGCATTGTGCGCATACCAAAATATATAGTTATTTCTATAATGATGCTGTAAATTATGGCTGATACTCAAGAATTAATCTCAAAATTATATTTCTCATATCACATCAACAATTCATAGAAAAAGAAGCTGCCAGAGCCTCGAAGAGGTTGGACTTCTGCCTGTTGATCCGCGGGAGGTATTTTATTTCCCTCCTACCACCCAAGGATAAACCTGTGGAGGCATTCCCCGATCCGCCACCTGGGGATGTGCTCTCTAGGGGTTACAGGCTTTCCCGAGAGTCAGCCAGAGACTAATCGGTCAAGTTAAAGGAAACTCATTCCCGGAATTGAACTGTGACAGAGCCATATCGACTATCATAACCAGACTTAGGACAAATCATTTGAAAGGGATGAGGATTTCTGCAGACGGACAGCGTAGTTACACCAACATTTGTCCTCATTACCCAGATGGCATCGCACTGTCTCGCTATCACATCTTCAGCTGCCCAGCAATCCAGGTCAGACTGTTTAACATTGGCATTGAAGACCCAGTGGACCTACTTTATACTAATAGAGCTGCCGAGGTTGCAAAAGCTGTCTTGGCGAGGTTGCAAAAGCTTAGGAGCTATATAATTAAACTTTGTCATAGACACAACATCATCATATCACATCAACAATGTATTATTTTTAACTGAATAATTTCACTCATTTTATTTTGGCTTTTAAATACGTTATTTACAATGAAGTTTATTTGCTACTTCTTACCTGAAATTTAGTAGAATAATGATTCTTTGTTTCAGGTTATGGGTAATAAAATTCTGACAGAAAGGATGACTTTTCCTGTAAGTAAAGATACTTCTTCTTTTCCTTTTCTGAAATGGCTAAATGTATTGTGGTTGTTGTATCATCTCATATTTTTCTCATAGTTGTCGTAATCATTAACCATCTGCATTAATTTTAATCGGTTGGACTCTGAAGCTCTTTGTTTGTGCTATGCTCTTATTTAAGCTCCCCAAAAGATTTTCAATTCCAAGTTTCGATGCTGATATAACATGTGTACTGTTATACCCTCATTTTTCATTAACAAGACTAAGCAGTGAACGGACAAAGGATTAAAATTGCTGAACACTGATATTTTTTTTTTCTAGATTCCATTTCGGAAGCAACTGTGCATAATACATGGGTTTGGATTTACATGACTAATTGTTTTGAAATTTTTAACCAATAATTTTAAAAGCAAAAGTTTGAAACTAGAAAAACCATTTTGAATTTCAGTTTTTCAGTCTTTTAATAACACAGCGTTTTACTAATTTGTGAATTTCAAAGGAAACAATAATTTGTGTTTATATCAAGACTGTAGTGTTCTGTATGTGAGAAGAATTGATAAAAGTACAAAAGAAACAATTTGACATAGCCCTTTGTGAATTTAAAATTTATGGAACAAAGATAGCGCTTTCCAAAACTTTTAATTTGGTCTTATCTATTCTTTTCATGAAAATGCTGCGAGCCTCAGTTTAGCAAAGACACAGCAAAGATGTGCTGCCAAGCATGTTTGATTAGAAATATATTTATTTATTAAAACGAAATTTCCGTTTTCGTAAAAGGAGAGTACTGTTTTTGGTTAAGATAGGCACCATATTGCTTTAAATACAACCTGTTACATGTGAATAAAATAATAATTAAATTACAATCCTTTCTAATTAACAGTATTTCTCTTTCAGTGATTTTTTTGGAACTATGACTTCAAAACATGAGGAAAACTATAATTTCTTCAAAATGGTTTTATGTATTTGATATAAAATGTTTACTAATGTGTGCATATGCAAGGGAAATGAGTTTCTAGTCTTCTAAACTCAAATTTTTAAAGAGCTACTCGACGTTTTAGCTTACGAAATTGAAGGTAACAGGCTCATAAATTTAAATAATTTTTTATTTACAGGTGTTAAAATGTATAAATAGATTCATATCCATAAATAAAATGCATAAATTAATTAAATAAGAATTAATAATTACATATTTGGAATTGGGCAGAACAGAAATTAATAATTGGATTTCCCTTGGTTGTCAGTAATAAATCGAATTGAACAAAAAGTATTATATATTAATATATTTAAAAAAAGAAAGCAAATATGAATCCTTAAAGAATGAAATCTTAAAAGAAATGCTTTAATGTTCTGGAAAAATATGGCACGAAACTGTTTTTCAAGAAATATTCTTATTTTGCCCCGTTCTTTCAAATTCCATTGTCTTTCATACAATATAAAGATTTTATTAAATGACCTTTTCAAAAATATCAAAACTAAAGCTTGCTATATTGGTTTTATGTAAATTGAAATGATCTTTGCGTTAGAGATCATTCCCTAGCTATAACTTCTATTATAAAAGATTCTCCGATTCCTGATTTCCTTATCTTATTTTCGAATGAATAAGTAGAATAGGAATTGTGTCCTTAATGAGAAATCTAGTGAAGCGAGTGGATGCCATCATCAAAATTATAATTTGATCAACTGAAATCTATTTTCATTGTAACTAGTGTTTCAAATCCTGATAACATCCCATACGCTGTCGGTGGGATGTAGATAGGATGTTCTAAGGATATACTGGGATGTGACATTAAGCGCTCAGGAGGATGAGTTTAGGAGGAAATTGGGAATTGGGATATACGGATGTCCTGAGGATGTAGTAAGTAGGACTTTAAATCCTAATAACATCCCATACGCTGTCGATGGGACATAGATAGGATGTTTTTAGGATATAATGGGATGTGCTTAGGAGGTTTGTGGGATATCCCGGGATGTCCTGAGGATGTAGTAAGTAGGAGTTCATATCCTAATAACATCCCGCACGCTGTCGATGGGACTTGGTTAGGATGTCATGAGGATATCCCGGGATGTGACATTAAGCACTCGGGAGGAGGTGTTTAGGAGGTTCGCGGGATATTCCGGGATGTCCTGAGGATGTGCGCATATCCCGCGAGCAACATCCTTGGGATATCCCAAGGATGTTTTTGTGCTATGTGGGCATGTATCCAAAAAGCTTACTAAAATACCTGAAACAGTGGCAAAGTAGTGAATGCGTAAAACTCTGAACAAAGAAAGATGTATAACTTTTTATTTAGCATTTTTTTAACCTTTTTACATAGTGGATTGTCTTGAGTCTACCAATTTTCTAAGACGATCATAACTGAAAATAACCAGTGTTTCTGAGAACATAAAATTAGTGTTAAACATCACCTGTCTAAAATAACTGCCTTCACAGAAGACTAAAATCATTTGGAAACATCAATAGTTGTCTTATACACAGTTTAATGTAACTTCACAAAAAATTAAAGAAACAAAACACTGTGCATTAAAATACAAAAGTATTAACTGAGTATTTAACACTTCCTAAGTAAAGTCATGTACTTCAAGAAAGCGAATTTGGAAAGGAAAATGATAGTTTCTAATGAAAATGCGTTTTTAATTTGGTATAGCGTTTAATAATGGAAAAGAAATTACAAAATTTAAACCAGCGATACAGTTATATGCTTTAATACAGTTGGAAATGCTTTTGCATTTGTGGTGAGAGCAACTTCCTTGCAACACTTTTCTCAAGCAAAATGTACTTGCAGAAAATTTCGCATTCACAACAATGCAAATTCATACATAAATCAAAGCAAAAATAATTTTCCTGCCATATGCGATTTGTCCCTCTGAGCGGCCAGGGTTTCACTAAGAAAGCACAAATTTCCCATAACTACTATGAGAAAAAAATATTTTTTTTTAATTTTAATATAATAACTCTCGTGGTATTTCATACCTGGATTGGTGTACTTTTGATATATTGCCTTAATTTCTTTGACATATTTTAATATGCACGTATATATACGTTCTCACAGATTTCGCAAAAAATATTCTAGGCCGTATATATACGGCCTTGCCGCTTAGAGGGTTAATTCTACCATCATGCAATGCACTGATGCAACATTTCCTAGTCGACTTGTTATAATGTGATGAGTATGGAAACGCATGCAATTTTTTTAATAAAATCCTATCCAACATTCACAACATATCGATCTGGAAGTCTAGGAATCTAATAATGCAATATATAGTCTGCTTCTGATTTTTAAAACACCGAGAAGAATTTTGGAAAGCTGTTATAATACCTGTACATGAAAATAGAAAAGGACTGAAAAACCATTTCCCAAATTACACTCTATAGCTTTAAGCTATCAACTATTGCATTACCTCGAAACAATGCCTCGAACCAACTCTAACCTTATTTTTTGTTTGCATGAAAGTATAGTGGATGACTTTACACTTTATACAAATCGAAAACACGTCTGGAGATAGAACTAAACGATGTAATGCTTTTTTCCCTTCTAGCAACTCTCTAAGGACTTTTATGCGATGTATTTTAACAGACCTTTCGTTTCGTAGACATTCATCGTAGACATAGTCATAAATTTCCATACTTTACTCATGATTCTAATGCGAGGATTTCGAGTCCTGGGAAGACAGAAAGATCACCTCTTGAAGGAAATATTTATTACGTACTCGTACACAAGTGATGTAATAAAATAAATGCACAGCTACACTTTGAATAATTAAGTTTTTTTTTCTGACTGAAGTGAAAAGGTTTCGATGTGGCGATAATTTACGTTCAAGTAAATAAAAATCATAGTAGTTTTTTTCTACCATTTGGCTTTTTCGTTTTAAAACAGCTCCTTTTATCTACAAGATTTAATTTCTCATATCCTTATTTCCTGAAAACTCTATGGGCCTCTCTAACTGCTTAACTTATTATTGTTTCAGATATCGATTGAAATCCGCATACTAGGATCATATTACAATTTCTTTTAAATATTGTGATTTTTATCTTTTTAGTTTTTCAAATTTATTAAAGTTTTGGAACTAACAAATTTTTCAAGGTTTCTCTATTGAAATCGGGAAATTTTAGACTACAATTTTCATTGTTTTTAGTTGCTATGTTTTTCAATTTAATTTATACTTATTGCATGTTATTACTATAAAAGGTAACTTGTAGCCGCGTAAATGGATTTATATGATGTCTTAAAGTTTTGAATGATATGTTTTTTCCAGATCCAAAGCAATAGTTTCAAAACAGCAATAACAGAAAAACGTCCTTTATCATTACAGGAAATAAATGAAGTATGTTAATCCTTATTTACTTATGTTTTCTTCGTAATTTGTGTTTGATTCGCTTTAATACAATACCTTATTTTCACGTAAAATTCATATTACAAAGGTGAAAATAAATTTTGGAATGGAAATAATTTCAGCAGATAGGAAATAACTGAATATTTTAAAATACGAATATTAAATATAAATGAAACAATCCTACTCATTTCCTTTTGTGTAAGGTGCCGTTCGTATTTCTAGAGAAATGACTGAAGCTTCTGTAACTGCTGCCATATATAAATACTATGCTTTAACTATTACAACTTTTAGCATGAGTTTCGTTTACAACTCGCAGAATTTTAAATCAAATTTAACGAAACTGACAGAAAATGTAACAGTGTTCAAGCGAAATTTTGAAGCGAAAAACAATGAACATTTATTGAGATATAAGCATTTAAAGAAAATTATGTTTAACTGCGCACTCGCGAAATATAATTTTTTTTTTCTTTCACCATTTGATAGCCAAGCATATAGGACAACTTATACAAAATTTCCAGGTGAATGCGTATAATATTTTCAGCTAATTAACAAATTATTACGATTTAAGTCTTTACTATAACTTCTCATTTCCGTAACCGTTATAAGACAGGTTTTACAAAATGCTAAAGCCGGAATAACTTTGGCAGAGCTAACGATAGTTCGAGTAAGCAACAGCAAAAAGAAGCTGCTATAAGTTCTAACTCTCAAACATTCGATCTTCGGCAAAAATGCATAATAACTAATTTGCATTCTATTAAGGACTACGGAAAGGAGAAGCTGAAGTAAAGTTTCAACTCATAACTGGGTAATTAACATAAAATACTGCAAAAATTTATTTGCGTCAATTACAGGGTGTATAAGAAAAGTATCTCCAGAAAGATATGGCTAAATATCTCTTGAATGTTAAGCTATAAGACTGTTGTTTCATCAAATAAATTTATCTTAAATGCTACTAAAAGTTGGGTAACATATCATGTTGTAGTAAAAATATGCTAAATTTTAATTTTTATTCAGCGTTACGGAACACATTCAAACTAGCAAATTTCTCTTTGTTCTATAAGAAGTCGTTTAAAAAAATACACTTTTATAAATAGATAAATAACGATTAAAAATATAAAATTTTTATGATAAAATGCATTTTCATTTGGTACGAAAATTTCGATTTTAGAACCCTTATAAAACTAAATTTCATTAGGTGCAAAATTTTGCTTTTAACATATGTGCGAAAAGGGAATTTGAAACCCCTGTTCCTGTTTCAATACTTTTGGGATGTTAAAGTTATTTTTTAGAGATTTGCATTCAAAAACTCAACATTGTACTGTCATTAAAAATGTTTGTATTATCATCCTAAAAAAGATCGATTAATTAATGATAGTTCGTATAATGCGTTTAGGGACATTTTACATTTTGATTAATTCAGGTATGATATGATATTAGTACTGATGTTATTTTTTACGAAGCCTATAAACAAGTAATTTTTTGTATATTTCTACAACAATGTGTCACGTGATTAAAATTGTCGTATTCAAGAATTTCCTTAACCTTATTTAATTCATTTCTTGAATTTGAAACATGCCTCTAAAACCAGTCTTTCAAAAGTCCTTTAAAATCCTGAAGTTTTTTAAACGACCTTTACGTCAGCTATGATTTGTAAATATTGGAAAACTTAAGCTGGATTTTGATTTATGAGCTAGTTTATGAGAAATTAATCATTATTATTCAGGATCAAGTGTCCATGATCCAGGACTGCCTAGAGAGCGAAGTGACTTCTTTGTTGTGCGTTCCCGTCCCTTCGAATCAGGAAGACATCGTGACTATGCTGGTGTGCCTGGTGAACAAAGATAGGTAACTTGGGAACAAGCTAGATTATTAATTTCTGTGAATCAGTATTTTCTAAATTTCAAATAATTTTGATCGTTTCTGTCAACTGACTAATGGGTACTAATTAGCTGTTTGAATGAATGAGAGTTTTGTTGTGTACTCTTGAAATGTTTAAAATGTACTAAACCATTAGATTGAATAAACTTTAACATGAATATTGAATATACTTAATGAAATTTAAATTTAAATTACATTGTTAATTATTAAATCCTAAAATTATATTTAAAAAGCATTGAAATACATGCATGAATTAAAATGTTAAAATATCACAGGATCACAAACATTATATATACAAAATATGATGTTGATTTATGTAAGAAAAATATTATTTAAAAAGCAAGTGAAAATTTCCTAATTGAGTTGTAAAAGTAGCATTTTCTTTAAAAACTTAGGTGTTGTGGTGTATTTAATTATGGAAAAGCACACTAGGGCTATCTGCCTAAAGGGGAGGAATGCCTTCGTGGAGGACTTTCTAAGGGAAACTGGCTCGTATACACATTACACGTGGGGGAAAACACCCATGCAGCCAGCCCGTTCGCGGGATTCGAACCTCGGACCGAACTACCAGTGTTCAGCGACTTTACCGCTCGGCCTCTGGTGGGCCTTTAAAAACTTAGAAAGTTTAAAATGGGAGTTTATTGCAATAAAACCATTTGTAGCAAAAATTGTATTAACATATTATACACTTAAAAAGTTCAGAACACAACTTTTAATTAAAATATGTAAAATGAAAAATGAAAAATGCAATATTACTGCTTTGTACAAATCGGTGTTCTGATGGTCTTTTCAACAAATACTGACATGTATGGAATTGCTCTGTATATCCGAGGATACGAAGGGTTTCGTTCATGCTATTTCCATGTATGAACATACTTATATTTGTTTCGGGTGTTTTGAAGTATTCAGGGCCTGTACGACTAGAGCAGCTGCCATTTTAAGAATTTATATATATATATATTACATATTTGCTTAATGACCGTCTTTCTATAGGCGTGTCATATAAGAAGTTTTAAATGTATTCTACGTAAATATATGACTATGAATTGAAAAGAAGAATACCTGTTAACCAAGCGAACTACTCATTATTGTAATTATTTTACTTTTTAAATATTATATACACATATAGCACAGAATGATTCGTATAATTCTTAATAGTGATTCATTTGCAAAGTTCCGCATATAGATTAGGAATGAATAGACAGAAGTTGGCAAGTGCTCCTGCTTACTTGTCTTGAATCACATCGGCTTACTAGAGGCCGAGCGGTTCCTTCCTGGGCTCGATTCCAGGCATAGACCCTGAATACGAACTAGAGGTGGCCTGGAATCGTACGCAATTGCGCCCTAAACCATAATGCGGTATTGTCGCGTGATGGGGCGTTGCATAATTGCTGCCGGATTGGACCTGTCTCCACATCGACGCCACACTCAAACAGAAATGTGACTCATCTGAGAACACGACCCTGTGTCATTCCGTCGTGTACACCGCTCGAGCGCGGCACCATTACAGACGTTGGCGTCTTTGATATGGGGTCAATGGCAGTCTTCTGAACCGACGCCACGAGTGCAAGCCACCAGCCACCAATCGACAGTAAATGGTTCTAGTCGATATGAGGACATCCAAAGGGAGTCTTGAAAATATTGTAGAATGGAGGTAGAAGTGGCCTGCGGGTGAGCCACCGCTTGTCGGCATATGCGTCGATCCACACGTGCTGACGTCACTCTGGCCGCACTAGCACCCCTCGAACTTGCCGCATTTCCTTGTTCCAACCATCGTAACCACAGCCGGTGCACCGTGTACGCGTCCAGGTGTGTGTCATCTAAGATTTGCTGTATAGACTAACCTGCCCTTCTCAGTCCGATGACCATGCCCCTCGTAAAATCGTCAGTCTTTTGGAACTGCCTCGTTGACGACAGCCTGGCATTCTCTGCTATTATATTTGTCATTTGAGACAAGAACAAATTTCCTACGAAGATTTTCCCTAGCAGAAATAATGGCACGAAATCTAAAAATTCCGCAGGTTCGCGGAATTCACTTATATCTTCGTCAACGTGCGCTGGACAGCTGCGTAATTCACATCATTTGTATAACTCGGTGACGTGCGTCTAACCTGAAATTTGCATAATTTTCGGACCACTCCTTCTTGGTGTTGCATTTTCTATATCGGTTAGTGTATATGCATTGAAATTTTGTATTTTTAATAAACTTTTGAATTCTTAAAAAAAGGGAGAGATATAACATTTAGAATTTTGTAACTGGTGAATGGAAATAATTTCGACGTATGTAAAATGTACGTTAGTATTATATAATTAGGTATCATGCTTAGAATTCTATGTATGTAAATAAATAAATTAGGTAGTTAAAGTGCGCCCTGTTTATTTTATTACAGTTTGATCCAGAGCAGCATTTCATTATCATTTATGTTCATATTTGGGTTAAGAGTTTTAGGTAAGAAGACTCTTTGGCCGCATATAGTTTGAATACAATAGAAAAGGTATTTCTGTATCAGTTGAAATCTAATCAGCAGTTGGTAATTATCTCTGTGAAAATCTACCAAAAACATGATATATTTTGCAAAAATATGCCTAGTAGAAGACAGAGATCTCCTTCAGTAAAATATGCTGCATATTCAATAGGATTCGAGGTTTTTTGGTTTTGGTTTATTTAGTTAAGCAAAGCACGTGAGAGCTATCCGTCAAAGGCAGGGATACCGCCGTGGAGGAATTTCTATGGGAAACTGGCTCGTATACACGTCACACTTAGGGAAAATCACGAAAACGCCCATTCAGCCTAAGGCTGTTGCTCTAAGCGAATTTGATAAAGCGCAGATTGTAACGGCCCGAAGACTTGGAACGAATATTTCTGAAATTGCACAACTGGTAGGTTGTTCACGATCTTCCGTTGTTAGTATTTATGCAAAGTGGATAAATGACTCTAAAACCAACATTAGATGCCAAGGTGTTGGACCTCCACCCGTCATCAAAGAAAAAGATATCGGAGACTGTCCCCCTTGGTACAGCAAAATCGGCGCCAGACAGTGGCTCAGCTGATAGCTCAATACAGTGCAGGTCCAAGTGCAAGCGTTTCGGAACACACAGTTCAGAGGACACAGTTGGATATGGGACTGCCCAGCCAGACGTCCCACTCGTGCGCCTCTGTTGACCAAGCTTCATTGTCAACTACGCCTGCAGTACGCCCAAGAACATCGAGACTAGACCATAGATAAGTCATTTGCCTGGTCGGAGGAATCACGATTTCCCATTCATCACATCGATTGGGCCTGTCAGAGTACGTCGTCTTCCAGGCGAATAGTTGCTCCCTTCCGTACAGCAGGTCATACACAGGCTGGTGATGACTGTATTATGCTTTGGAGGACGTTTTCATGGGCGCTTTGGGACTCTTAGTTGTGGTAGAACAGACTATCGGACTGTTTGAACATAACTGTGAATCATTTGCACCCTTACATGGCGTCTGTCTTCCCAACTGGAAATGAAATCTTCCAGCAGGACAGTGCCCCATGTAACAAGGGCCGAATTGTATTGGAGTGGTTCGAGGATCATAAGGATGAATTCCAACTAATGTCCTGGCCACCTAACTTGCCTGATCCGATAACCTGATAGAGCACATTTGAGACCTCATGGAGCGGCAGTTCAGAATTCAAACACCACAATGTCGGAATATCTCGACTTTGCGTGACTGCTGCTTGGTCATTTGATACACCCTCTCTTCAGTCGTTTACCAAGAACATGTGTCATCCATGCCAAGCCGAGTTGCAGCTGTTATGCAAGCGAAAGGTCGCGCAACGCGTTATTGAGTAGATGGTCATAATATTTTCGCTTTTCAGGTGTAGTATATATCAAGACAGCGTATTTGTATTATATGAAGAAAATTATTAACTCCCACCTTCTCTTCTTTCCTATTCTACCCACTGGTTACCTGAAGGTTGTTTTACTTGATCTAGAAATAATAACCCCATGAGACGTGAAGTGAATTATCGCTAAATCTGAAGTAACTACTACTCAGGATAATGTTTAAATAACCCTTTTTTTATTAAACAGAAATTAGAACAAAAATATATTTTCTTGTGCTAAGCCATAACTCACGGTGAGGCAAAAATTTAAGTTAAGTATGGAATAGTAGTAAAAGACTACGCAATAAAATTTTACTCAAAGCTGCCTCAATAATTCTAGCCGAGCATCAAAATCAAGATGTGACAGCAATAGTACACGAATAATTACAACTATCAGAGCTGGCAGGAACTAAACGTATCTTGTACGCGCAGCCCAGAACACGCTCCGGCTTAAACCTCAGTTTAAATACTACCCAACTCATTTACATTTTAGTGAGGAAAACAGAAAGGAGAAGTTATGCTAAAGGCCCAAATCCTAATTCCTGGTTAATTTCAAATAATAATTTTACAACTTCATAAACGTCGAAGGATCTCAGCCATCGTTGGAAAACGGAGATAAGAGTTCTATCAAATTACACTGGAGCTGAAGAGAAGGGCTTCAATCATTCCATTTTGAAAACAATACATTTTTGATACCATATCAAATAAAGAGGGTGCCCTTTTAACTGTCTAAACTATTTATTTATATACATAGACTTCAAAGCATTACACAGAATTACAGTACTAACATGCTTCTGTTTTTAAATCTAAATTATTGCCATTCACAGCTTATTAAATACTAAATGTTAAATATTGCCATTCACAAGTTACTAAATTCTAAATGTTACAGACGCCGAAACTAAAAGGGCTTTTTTAATGAATGCTTAATTTCTAAATATACGTGGCTAAGCGGTCTTCCTACTTGAAAGCTTGGTACATTAATGGTACTGAAATATGTCGAGTTATTACACACATGCTTTTCGCATCAAGCTGTGCCTGGTAAAAAACGGCGGTCCCTTTTAACATATGTTATAGTGTAGTGCAAATTTCTATTTGTTGCGAACTTCTGACCTTTTGTTCATACTGTTCACCAAACACTTCGCTCTTGCTTACACATGAATTACTACATATTCACGTATACACAAATAATTTGCAGGAACATATGAATATTATAATACTGCATTGAAGTTTAAAATTCAAATACACATAAAAAAGCAGGAGGAGAATTCTAAAAAACATTTGCTAGTGTCTCCAAGGGAGATATATAAGGTATTTTCCCCTTCTTTCAGCGGCCGAGGGGTCAAGTCGCTGAACACTGGTAGTTCGGTCCGGGGCTGCCAGCTTGGGAGTTTTCGTGGTTTTCTCACGAATAAAGTAACGTGTATAAGCCAGTTTGCATTAGAAAGTCTTCTACGAAGCCTTCCCTCCCTAGTCTAGCAGCACGAGGGCGCTTTGCCGTAATTAAATAAACCAAGCCAAACCCTCCTTCCAAGCATGCCTTCGTGGAATAACGGTAGCACACTCGGAGCATATTGGAGAGGTCCAGGTTCGAGTCCCGGGAAGGAATTGCACATTTTCACGTTTCCAACATCAAAAAATCGAAATGGCTCTACAAGTGGGGTCCAAACTAAAAGGTAGTGCACAATAATTCGTCACTACCAGGATTTGGCAGCTGGGTCCCCTACTCACCAGTCTCCCTTTAAAAGGGGGGATATATAAGGCATTTTCTCCCTCCTTCCAGCATGTCTTCGGGGTGTAATGGAAGCACATTTGGCGAGGATTCGGGAGGTCCAGGTTCGAGTCCCGAGGGCATTGTACATTTTTGATGTCCTCAGCAGCAAAAAATCCTAATGACTCTACAGTTATAATGATTATAAACACGTTATACTTCCTTTGTCTCTTGGAATATTACTTTTATCAAATGCATGTAATAACGGAGATGGCATGATTTTCATATCCTTTAATCTCAAAACCAATTTGAAGATTCTGTTTTTGAATATGATGATTAGGTGACAGAATTCCAAAACAAATTTTAGAGAATAATGAAACCTTATTCATCATCTAAATATATGCAAGTCAGCAGATAATGAATTGATTTTGATTTCATTTCAGCTTCTGTGAAGCAGACGAAGATTTAGTAGGCGAAACTTTCCGATGTATGGCCCCTATCCTTCATAGAGCTAAAGCATATGAAGAAGAAAAAAGACTGCGAGAGGAATGCCAGGTAAACAATAAAAATGTGATATATTTTCGAACTTTTGATTGTTTTGTCATCCACCTTAGACTACCATAAAGGCGCGGATTTTGCTATGCCATCTATCTTCTTATTCTTTCATAATATGAACAAGGTATTGAAAGAAAAGCAAAAACTATGCTTCTGACTTAAAACTCGGATCTGTGGGATTAATTTAGCTCTTCCAATTGCTTAATCCAGCGTATTTTGAAACCCTCTGCAGCAATATTTTTATGTCTTTCGTACCCGATTTTACACACAAGCTACTGAAATCAGCAGCACGAGGGCGCTTCGATGGTTACAGTGTGTAGGCTCATATATACGTGTTAAGATACTAGCTATCAACCTAAGTGAGATGCGTCAGAAAGCATGTGTATCCTCCGAAGAATACAGTCATATCATATCAAGCAGCTTTTATTTAGAAATTTTACAATGACTTCTGAATTTTGTTGAGATAAAACGATTGATAAAAAAGGAGCTTAGGGGAAGAACACTTCAGCTCTAAATTTTTATTTGAAACTGAAACAGTATTCATCTCAACCATTTACTGAGCGAAAGAAACAGATCATGTTTTTAAGCGCATACGTATTTTTTTTTATTTCTTGCTGTTGTTATTTATGCTCATTTGTCTGGCAGTAACATCAGCCCAAGCCTACGAAATACCTCTGGTAAGAAGCGTAGATTTACGCCTGTCGTTGGCAGCAGCCTTGAGTAGCTTACAGGTGACAGTGCGATTTAGCTTAGTTCCGCCTCCAATTTTGATGGAGGGCACCCGGGGGGGACAGGTCCGAGGGTCTCCCACCTCTCTCCCCTTCTACCAAATCACACGAGAGGACTTTCGGCTCGCTGCATATTGAAAGTGTAGATTTGACAGGATAAGTGTCTTCTGTCTCCCTCCTTACCCTCCTAGTCACCGCATTTTGCAAAAAATAAGATCACCGGAAAGAGTTGTCAAGGCACATTGTGCTAAAAAAGACGTATTTGGTCTGCAGTAGAAAGTATTTGCCCAGCCCTGGCATAGAGCCTCAACAAGAAAAACAAGAATATTTTTGTTTGAAGCTAAAGTATTTATTATCTGAATATATTTTTTAATGTTAAACTGCGCGTGTAAGACATATGTTATCAATATGGTATAATATGTTGTTAATAAATATTTCCAAAAATCTAGTTCACTTTTCCTCTCCTTTCGCTCTAAAAGATTTTCATACATTTAATTCTCCTAGTAACTATCATTAGTCAGCTGCGGGCTTATTTCATTAATGGATATGAATTTGAAGATAAACATCGTGCATAAGTAATTACCTAATCTCCTTTTCTTGTTCTTGAATCCAAATGGGAATTTACTGAATACTTATCTTTTTTTTTTTTCTTTTCTTTTCATGCAGTCTCTTCTGACAGTGGCAAAAAGTCTCTTTACACATTTAGGTAAGTGCTCAAGTATTCTAACTAGTATTTCAACGAGAACGCAACAAGTTATTTCCCTTTGCCAATCGTATAGACATAGAGGGAATGTGAATGAATTATTTGACGTTTATCCTCTTACGCAGTGTAATAGTAGAACTCTTACGCAGTGCTATGTACGTGGCTTTCTCTTTTTATGCTTCTGACTTCAAATGACTTGAAAACATGAGAAAACCATAAATAAAAACTTTATCTGGTTTGTTTTGTAAGAAGCATTTTGGCTATATGATAATCATATATAACGCTATAATGCATAAACGTTATTCTCATTTTTTTTCTTTTACAGTATCAAAGTTTCTGTTCTGTTGCAGCTGTAATTGCATTTCATCAGAATATTTTTGTTAAAAGGAAATTTAGGAAATGATCGGTTTGATTTTCTCACAGAAACTTCATTCAACGGTGTTAAAGGTTATTGGGTTGCAAGTGAACTAATTATCTGCTCATTTCAATTACACTCATGTCCATAAATTAAGGATAATGCAAAATCAGGCAAAAGAAGAGTTAGAATCAAAACAAATTTGCCTTATTTGTAAAGTTTATTTATTAAACAAAAGGTAAAGAGCAAAAAAAGATGCTATATGTTTGATATTATTAAAAAAATTAGCGATTTTTTCTCCCTGGAGCAAATTACAAAAAAATATATATATATATATATTATATTTACAAAAAAACCAATATTACACGGTTGGTATGATTGTTAATACATTGTATATCTCCCAGACGATGCAATACAGTCCGTACAACGCCTATTCATGCTCATAAATTATCGATCTGATCTTGGGGGATATTACACCACTCAAAAAGCAATGCTCTCCGAAGTTCCGATAGACATGTAGGAGGAGGTTGACGGGCTGCAACTCGTCGGCCAAGCATGTCCCACACGTGCTCTACTGGATTCAAGTCCGGTGAGAATGCTGGCCAGTTCATACGGGTGATATCCTCCGATTGAAGGCATTCGCTTACGATGTTTGCACGGTGAGGACGGCCGTTGTCATCCATAAACACAAATTGTGCGCCCATGGCGCCCCGAAACAAACGTACACGTTGTTCCAGAATGACGTCCCGATAGATTTGGCTTGTCATGGCTCCAATTTGAAACATGCAGGTCAGTTCTGGAAACCCAGAATAATTCCTTCCACAAACGAGCACTCCTGCACCACCGTAAAGGTGTCGTTCAATGATGTTTTCTTGAAGTGTAACGGGTACCTGGAGCTCTCCATATGAAAGTCCGGCGAGAATCAGACTGCAAGCTAAACCTGGAATCGTCGGAAAACATCACACAAGCCCACTGTTGCGGTGTCCACAATGCATGCTCTCTACTCCAGGCTAACCGCAGGCGACAGTGAGTTGCAGTAAGTGGAACGCATCTGACAGGTCTACGAGCAATATAGACCAGTCTGCCCTAAGCGTCTGTACACGGTCTGCCTTGAAATTGTCGTACCAGTGGCTGAAGAGAGTTTACGAGACAAGCCTGAGGCTGTGCTCCGCCTGTTTCTTTTGGCAGTAACTGCCAAATACCGATCCTCATTCGGCGTTGTAACTCTGGGGCGACCTGTGCTGTAACGTCTATTCACATTACCATCATCTTGGAATCGTTTTCAAAGCCTGAAGATGACACTCTGGGCAATTCCAAGTTCGTCTGATACTTCCAGTTGGGTACGCCCACATTCCAGACGGTCGATTATTCTACCACGTAAAAAATCATCCAAATGCGTCCTTTGTGTCATAACTACTCGGTTATTGCACTGAAATGCTTATAAAGCGCCTGCGAACAATTTTACTTCTTTGCCTGTATTCCTTATACATCACTCTCTCACACTCTCGTCATTGTGACGTACCATCGGTGTCATCTGGTTACTTCCTGAAATTTGCATATGATTCTTGAAGATGTGTGTAGTGATTTTACAGGTGATATATTTATTTTAGAGTTCGATTTTCTCGTGACTCCGAATTTTCCTTAATTTATGGACATGAGTGTAAATAAAATTTCGTTAACCAACAGATAACCGTAAAAGTGGATTGAACATCAGTACGAAATAATTACATGAATGTTACTTACATATTTTTTTTAATTTCATACGTAGCAAAAATTGTAAGTGCTTCACAGATTTTTTTTAAAGTATCAAAGCAAGTCTGAATGCAGATGATTGTTTATGTGAATTTAAAGTTTCCCAAACCACTAAATATCGCATCCTTACATAGGCCCGTTCTTTTTAACCCTTTCAGTCCAAATTTGTTTGTTTAAACGTAAAGGCGTAACACATGACGTAGCACCTGTTCGCCTTATAATAAAACAAATTCACTAAGCCTCTATAAGAAGATGCGCGGTACAGTTTTCAGAGAAGATTTCCAGGTCTCTCCCACATGCATGCAATTCCCTCTAGGCTTCTTTAAACATTTACTGGGACTTATATAACCCACTGGGACTGAAAGGGTTAAAGTTCGTGCAAAGAGAGGATCTTTTCTAAATTGTAAGACTATAAGAAACGTGTGTCTGATAAAAAAAAAAAAAAGTTTCTCTTGGAAATAAATGTATATTGACATAAAAATGTTTCTTGTCTATTTAACAAAGGATACAATAAATCATCCCAGAACATTACCGTTCTTGCGTCATTGACTTTTTCCTCTAAGCCATGTTTGCTCCTGTTACTGCAAAGGTCAGGCTTAGGACTCCATAGGTCCAACCTATAATTCTTAATAATTTTGTTCTTTTCTGTTGTATAGCACAAAGACAGTTATCTGAGAAGCACGTCATTTAAGCCATAGACACTTTTTCCTTTTCAGTGAAATAAAAAAGTTGAACGATATTTGCATTTACGTACTGATGATAATATTTTAGGGCTTTAACGATCTGAATGAACACAATGTCAGACAACTTATGCACTTAGTTAAATTACGTTTGCTTTTAATGCAGTCTCCGTTTTGAATGTTCACCATAGCTGAGTATTTACACGGTATCCTGATAGACTCTTTATAGATCTGTCTTACTGCTAAATGGGCAGAAAATTACTTCCTCGTGCGCCACGCGATGCAATTCTATTCTTTAATTTAAATGCTTTCATTACCACATCTATCTTTCCAGGCAAATAAATAATCTTTGTGTGTTTCATTAATTGAAAAACATTCGGATTAGTAATGCACACAAAATTAGATTTTTTTAAATATAAATTAATTAGAAAATCCTTTATACTTATAAAATACTATGCATATAAATTATAACATTAACTATAAATGAGAAATCATTGTTAATTTACATGAAAAACTTCTTTCTGTTACGGACTATTTGATTACTTTGAAAACGATGTAAATATCTAGCTGCGCCTGGTAGAAAATCTAGTTTTGTTTTTGTTTAAGAATTCTAACTATTCTAACTAGCCCTTCTATTGGCATAAAGTACGCCACTTCTGCAATAGGCTCTTCTAACTTCAAAAGCGTTAACAGAAAAATGATCTAGGTCAATATTTCCTTCGAAACACTCGCCTTTGATGCCTACACAACTTTACAAACATTCTGTTATTGTGACTTATCTCACTAGTAATCTCACAGTAATATCAGCACGCTGCCACGAATTTCACATGGCGAAGTGTGCAGGATTGTGTCTGTCGTTAGCATATGCCTTGGCCACCGTACAGATGACAGAACGACTTTGTGTAGGTTCGTAACCAGTTTCAAAGGAGAATCCTTGGTGTCCGAAGGTCTATAGCCTCTCTTCTCCTGCCATCAAACCAAAGAGAACTTACGGCTCGCCATATATTTTAAATCCCACCATGCCACAAAGACCCTATTACACTACAAATAATACAAATAAACAAAACACCAAACTACAAATAACGAGGTCTTCCCGGCAATATAAGCCCCGGCCCGGATACGGCAGCAAGTACCGACTATATTAGGGCAGAACTAACGTTCTTAAAGTTATGGAAACAGTCCTAGAAGCCACTCTTTGATAGTTCTATAAGGTGGTGTAAACTTAGCCAAGTGATTATTTTGCAAGTACAGTTCTGTAAGGCGATTCATCGTTTTGGGTCGGGATGAGTTTATAGAATACATGGAGTGTTTCAGAGTTGTAATAGAATGTTTTTCCAGATATTATTTAACCGTCAAACTATCTTTTTTGTTTATTGGTATTTAACGATGCTTCTCCACGACTGGAAATTTAAATTCTTACACTGTTACCGCCGCCTGTGATAGGACTCACGTAAGCAGCATTGCTGGTTGTTAACGTTCCATAACGTAAATAAAAAACTTTGCACCATTGTTCTACTTATGTCAGTGATGTGGTTTTTATGGATGTTTTTAAGATACTTTTGTAATATTATTCAAGCTCACTATTTTGTGCTGAAGGCGAAAATACCAGGAACTTTTGGAGAAGCATTTTTATAATTTTAATCCTTTGAGGTACTTAAGACATAATTTTTTAATTGAAGCATTGAGAATAGAAAGATAGAAACTTTATAGAAAGAGTGTTCAGCTGTGTACAGCCCATTCTTCAACGCGATATTTCTAAACTTCCTGTGTTGTTGCAGAAGTCTCAAAATCAACTTTCTTAAAATAAGATTTCATTGCCCTATAAACTGTTATTTGAGGAATATCAGGAAAATAAAGAAGTCTATATTACTTTAAAGCAAGATATAGTATATTTCTTCTTTTATAAATTAATGTGCTCTTTCTGTTTCATTAAAAATTTAATTTGGTCATAAAGTAATCTGACCAACTGACACCGAGCTCGGAAACATGGAAAAAAAGGAAAACTTTCCCACTTTTGCAAGGTAAATGTAGAGTGACGTGCATTTGTGATATACGAAAATAGGGGTAAGACTTGTGTCAAGTTACAGGTAAAGTAATTATATCATAAAATTTTCCGGTGGAAATCCTACAATTTATGATGACATGAGATTTTGAGTGAAGAAAAACAGCAATGGGCATTGGAATACTGTGTAAAATGTAGCACAAAGGGGATATATGTAAATAATAAGAAATAAGCCAATACTAGTGACAAAATGCTAGTAGAATTTTATGGGTGAGGTGTCACATGAACCTTACCACAGTCTACTTCGACTCTTTTCTCCGTTTCTTCCAAATAATCTATTAATAATAATAACAACATTCAGACAAAGCGGATAATCCTCGTATTCTGCAATGATTGCCCATCTCACAGACAGCTGTATGACATTTTCGCAGAAGCGACGTAGTGAATTTTGAAGTTATATATATATATATATGTATATATATTTATAATTCATTACGTGCTCCGCCATTTGGCACTACACGGGAAGGAAGGTACGCCGCGTGGAGGATTTATTAAGAAAAAAAGGCTCGTAGCCCCGTTACAAATGGGAACACCACGAAACCCCTCGACCATGCAGCCAGCCCATTCGTTAAGACTCGAACCGCGGACCAAAATACGAGTGGTCAGAGGTTTAAACATTTGGCCACTGGTAGGCCTTGAATTATATTTCACGAACGATTCCAATGCTACAGAAAACTTATACTAATTTTGTTTAATCTGTAGTTTATACAAACGTCCGGGTTGAAACTCAGTTGGGCATGATTTAATCGACATTTTCGAAGATATGGGTTCCATATGCGACTGAAAGCGATGTGGCGGCGGCTTCTCGATAGATGTTGCAGCTGTCGCAGTGGTTCTACCTCTGGGAAGTACTGGTTAGGATCTGTATCTAGGCAGTCTCAATCACGGGGGTATATAATTTGACTTCACAGGACTAGAGCCCGAGTATTGTACTCAGGTTGGTTTAGGTTTGGCAGGGACCGTACTGGTACTGTCGTGTCTGTTCCTTCGGCTGTGGTGGAGCTATACGGAAGATTTGTCGACTAAGATCTCGGGGGTTTGACACCATTCAGTTCTCGTGGCGGGGACTGACAAAGACACCTTTTTATAATGTGGTTTTGCCGACGGAGTGGTGCCCGGAGGCAAGGTGACAATGTATCAACTTCGCAACGTTACTATTCTGCCCAATGCTTAGTAAAAGCCGAGCGGGGACTGCGGGGGCTGCGCCCGCGAAAACGAGGTCCCACGGACGTTGGATACCCCAAACTCTGAATGGGTCCCGTATAATGCGGTCATGGGACGGAGGTCCTTCGTCTGGTGTGTTTGTCGCAGTGGTTCATCAAGCCATAAGGACAAATGCTCGTTGCAAACAATCTCGATTTATTCAGAATCACAATATTAAATGCTTTACAATGAACACTGAACATGGGGCGTATCAGAAGACTTTACTCAGGAATTCCTGAACCATTATGCAGATGACGAAGATTTTAGGATAGCACATCGAACATCTGTATTTTTTAGCCTTTTATTTCATCTCTGACAGGATTACTGCTGTTGCACTATACTGCCTTTTCATTGCTCAAAATTTGAGAGGAATGATGGTTTTCATTCTGGGCACGCTGCTTTATATCATTTCCCATCGAGCAGAACAATGCCATAATGAAATACTGGTATTTACATTGAAACTCTTCTCTATATGGGCTACGTTAATTATAACTATGATATGTTTTCTATCTCAGTTTTTATATATCGTAAATGCATATCACCTGTACTTACCTTGCGAAATTTGTGGAGGAGTCATCGCTTTTCGTGCTCTCAAAGTCGCCGTTTGTCAAGTTATTGTATGGTCATCTTATACAATATATTAGATTGATATGAAATACATTTTGTGTGGGATGTTTTAAGTTCATAGCTATGAAATTGTTATATTGCAGATGATGTAACGCTACTTCTACGCGAAATCATGGCACAGGCGAGGCATCTCACTAAAGCCGAGAGGTAAGACAGTTATATTTCTCAAATTTACCGCAGTTTCATTTAGCTTGAAATAAAAGAACGAATAAATTCAGAATGTAAAAAGCAACAAAGCGAGAAAGGAAAATAAATTTTCGGTTAATTTGCACTGAGAATCAAGTTATGCTGAGTAAGATTATTTACAAAATATGATAATTATTAATAAACTATGATTATTTATAAATTAATTTAGTATATTAATACTAAACAGTGAAACTAATGCCCAAATTACTTTCAAAATGTATATCCTTACTGTTAGGAAGCCGTATAATAAGCATTAACCGTACAGGGAATATTCATATGCACTTGTAACAGGAGCATTAAATGGGTATCTTATTTAAAGGTTTCCAATATCATAAAAACCATTAACAGTATTTAGTCAAATAGTTACATGCTTACTCTGTTTAAAAATATCTATGAGGTATAAATACTCTAATAAAATGAAAAAAACACTTAATGCATGGTAATTGCTTTACTTTAATTAAATATGAGCGACAAAGTTTTATATCCAAGTTATTTCCTATAAAAATGTAGTATGAAAATTTTGAAAATCATAAATTAATTTTAATAATTTTTCATCCTATGCTTCGCAATAAAAAACTTAATACGTTACTTAATAATAATTTCCGGTGCTTAAATGAGAATATAATTTGTATACGGATATTCTTCTTTGTTTCTTTTCTCCAAGAAAATCGATTAAAAGCAAGAATTACTTTTAAAAAGCTGTTAAGTTTTGTTTGCATAGCAGCAATAAGGAGGAAAAAACTAAGAAAGTCGTAGATCTTGTTTACTTTCTGGTGATTACCCGCTGAGATAAAGATAGTGAGTGCTCTTTCATCATACTGATAATGGTGAGTTATGATTACACCGAAAAATTCTTTGCTGCAGCTCTTCTACACTTGTTGGTGTACGTTAAAAAGACCTCCATTTATTGCTGTATATTTTTATAACTCGGTTCAATATTTTCTGTTAATATTTTATACATAACACATTTGATGTAATCCCAAAAATAATAATGGAACTTTTTGGTGCCTTATCGTAACACAGAATAAAAGCTGTCTTGAAGAGATGACTGAGAAGTTAAATTATTAATATTTCAAAAAGGGAGAAATAAGCAATAAAGTAATATTTCACAATTTGTAGTTCATATAAATATGCATCAATCATAATGGCACAATTTATAACTTATATATCGATATATATATATATATATATATATATATTTTTGCGTGCGTACGGGTTCATAACAGATTGAAATGCACACACGTCCGATGATAGCTAAGTAAAATTTATTTAATCAAAAGAAACACTTCATGATTTTGGAATTTCCTACAGAAATAATAGTAGAAGTGTTCACTGTATCACAGAGCACAGTCAGTAGTTATACTTCAAACTACCGAGAATGCAAAATGCATTTAAAGAGAAATCTAACCCGGAAATATCTCACAGTACTCCAATCTCACGCTGAACTAACAAATCGCAACAACAGCAAAAACAACTACTCGGAGCAGATGCTGTCTCCGGTCTAATATAGTTTTCACCCGGTCGCCGAGATATTTCTAGTACTTTCTGCCTCATAATTGCCTTCTCTCTAGATGGCAACGTGAGGGTCGAATTACGGTTACAGCTAATATAGTGATCAATCGCATTTAATCAATTAGAATTTTTATTAGGGTGATACAAACACCGGACCCAAATATCGCCAAATGATCGCTAAGTTTGGCGACTTTTGGCGATATCTCACCAAATTTGTTTGCCAAAACCCTTGCCAGCAAGCATTTTTATTACTAGCAAAAATATATTGATAATCTTTAATGTACGTTTTAAAATTTAATCTTTTAATACTCACAATCATGCGATATCAAACATTTATAAATTTACAGCGAATACTTCACAAGTTTAAATTACTTCAGAATACTTTTCCTTGACCTGTAGGATTTTCATTATCTCACTATAAAAGCCTTAAATGTTTGTTTTCCCTAATGGCGGGCACTTGCCTATGTCAGTCTAGGCCTATGCCAGCACCGGCCACATCTAAGGCCAGATCGGTGGTCTCTTTGTTATGGAGGCAACCTAATAGGTGGAACCATTTCCTCCTGTGAAGGGACAGACACTTTTTACATGACTTCGGCTATGCTTTTTACATTCCTGGGCCCTTCAGTATCGCAGTCAGGCTTCCCTAACCACTATACCGTCTGGGTGGCTTAGCCTTAAATTTTTATTTGGGTTATACAAACATCAGACCCAAATATCTCCAAATGCTCGCCAAGTTTGGCGACTTTTGCAGATATCTCACCAAATTTGTTTGCCAAAACCCTTGCCAGCAAGCATATTTATTACTAGCAAAAAATATATTGCTAATCTTTTATGTACGTTTAAAATTTAATCTTTTAATACTCACAATCGTGCGAAATCAAACATTTATAAATTTACAGCGAATACTTCACAATAAGTTTAAATTACTACAGAATACTTTTCCTTGACCTGTAGGATTTTCATTATCTCACTATAAATGCCTTAAATGTTTGTTTTCCCTAATGGCGGGCACTTGCCTATGCCAGTCTAGGCCTATGCCAGCACCGGCCACATCTAAAGCCACATCGGTGGTCTCTTTGTTATGGAGGCAACCTAATAGGTGGGACCATTTCCTCCTGTGAAGGGACAGACACTTTTTACATGACTTCGGCCATGCTTTTTATATTCCTGGGCCCTTCAGTGTCGCAGTCAGGCTTCCCTAACCACTATACCATCTGGGTGGCTTAGCCTTAAATGTAAAGATACTGGTAAATTTTCAGACTGGCAATATCTAGGGGTTATCCATGCAATACACTGGCGTTATTGTTCGCAAGTTGGATGCTAAATGGTGCTTCCCAAACGGATTCTTAGTTTGTTTTATTAAATGAAACTAATAAAAATTAATTTTTGTCGACTGAAATCAATCTTAGCATAATGTGGAATGCAAATCTTGAGGTTATTCAAATGATTGACCCGATTTCACGCGGCTTTATTTCTAAAATTTGCTAGCACGCTAGAGATAAGTTATACATGAAATAAAGGAAAAGTTATCCAAGATTCAATTAGCATGACTGTCAATCCAAGATTCAATTAGCATCAATTACGCGATTAATATCAAGACAGCAGTTAAATTCATGTCACGCTCCTTCCATATCTTTTAGTACTAGTTAGTTGGTATCTGTAATGTACGTTGGAATACAGACGTCGAATGAAGACAGACGCAGAAAAGCAGACAGAATTAAGACACAAGCTGGATACTCGTCACTCGGCTTTATTTAAATTTATCTAATGTTCGTGTATGACGAAGGAACATTCTTTAAATTATGATCCTTTATTTTTGGCAACATTCTAAAGCATGGAAATTTATCTTTTCATCTGATGCATAAATTAATGGGTACGGCATTTTTTCACTCAGTTAATCATTTTGAATGACTTGGTATTTTGAAATCAGATTTCTGTGCGTATCAGATAATAGAAACTGTTTTTCCGCGCATCAGAATACCGAAAAAATAAAACACAGCCGTGTGTCACAGAAACTCATCAGCGTCCCACTGATGCCAACCGAGCAAACGTTTAATTGGATATATTATGGAAGAAGTAATTAAAATTCTACGTTCTCATTTAACTACATTTTACAGGTGCTCTTTATTTTTATTGGACAAGGAGAGAAATGAGCTGGTAGCAAAAGTGTTTGATGGAAATGTGGCTGAGGATGGAACAGAGGTATTATTATTCTAATGAATTAAATTCAGTAATTCCAAATGAATTATTCCAGTAATGCTTTTAAATCTTGTTTTTATGTAGTTTGAACCGTAGATGAGGATTGGAATAGTTTAGGATTTATGAATCATCGTGCACACAAAAAAATTATTTATATAATTTTAAAAAAAAATCTGAAATGTTTCAGATTTTAAATTACGTCCAAATTAAATTACGTTTTTTTAACGTTTTTGTGCGTTATCTTTATTTGTTAAACATCATGTTCTTCGTACTTAAACCATAAAATTCAATTCAACAGGAATATCGCAAAATAGTTTTAAAATGAGCATATCTTTAGAATTTCCGATACAAAAACTCACGCGCCGGAGATAAAAAATGTTTTTTCTGCATAACGTTGCCATTGCTCGCTTTGAAATCCTTGAGTTTGTTAATCAAAAATTCGTCAAAGTTTTAAAAAATAGGAAATCGATCATAAAACAAATTTCAAATTTCAAATTTGGTCTTCCACATGCTCATATTCGTTGGAGGATTACGTTATTCAAAATTCGATGACTCTATGTACCGTTGTTTTATCACAATACGAGAAATATTCATAGATTTATGCAGATTTTTCATTATTTAATTTCTTCAAATATAATGCAGGACTCTAACATTTTGTGGCAACAGTTTGAAAAGTGAACCGACGTTTATGAGTCCGACGCAAAATGCCAAAACGAAACTAATAGTCCTTCGGGATTCAAATCCCTTTGGACTAATAATTTAACATTTCTTGCATAATTTTTAGACAATTTAATACTTTTAAATAAACAAATAATTAAACACACATATCTGTGTTTTTAGTTTATGTAAGAAAGAATCTAATATGCATGCTAGCTACATTAAATAATTTACATATTTAGAATTCCTATATTTTGTGTCTGTGCGTAGTGTTATAAATGTTATTTCAAGTGATCTTCAATGAAAATAAAACATATAGAATGTGTGAATAATGGTATAATGCACCTTTTACATGTCAGACATCTGTCGAGGTTCGAATACCGGCTAATCAAGGCATCGCTGGATACGTCGCCACATCAGGTAATTTATAAAAATCATCTGTTTTCATTAAAACTAAATTTTTAATTAAAATTATTCTATCAATGAAATTTAACACGACTTTTGAACAGACACTTATGTTTAAAAGTTCGATATTTTTGTAGTAATACGCTATAAAGTAAAGCAATTTGCAATCCCTTTATTGACAGTAACAACTTTCGAATAGGAATGTTATCTGTAAAATGAGAATCATAGGTTTGAATAATCACTAACAACACTTTTTTGTCATAAGACATTAATAAAAGTCAGGTAATAAATACCATTTATTTAAAACAGGTGAGTTGTTAAACATCCATGATGCATACGCACATCCTCTGTTCTATAGAAAAATGGATGAGACAACAGGATTTAAAACAAGGTAAGAGCATAAATAAATTTGTTTTAAGCTCTTTACGCTTTTTTTACTCTTTATAAAATAATCCCATTTATGATAATGGAGTTTCGTATTTTTCAGAAAGTTTCAATAAATTCTATTCTTTCCTGAAATGTTTCTTAGATCTTATATAGCAGAAATAAAAAAAAGTAGAAGACAAAAATATTTTAATACTGTTATTTATCTAAATTTTAAAAAACAATGTAGTGACATTGACAGCTGTATTTTTATAAATATAATTCAAATATGGTAGCTCAACTCCTTTCTTTTCTGACGTTTCGTAGTTCCAGAAAAGTAAATTATCTCTTTTAAAATAAATTCAAAAGTCTTGCTTTTGGAATACAAGAACTTGTTAATGCATTTCAATATTTATTTTCTAAACAAAAGTAAATAAAAAAATCTATCTATAAATATACTTTCAAATTATGATTCTTATTAAAACTTCTAAAATAAGCTGCTTTCGTTTTAGTTTCGTTAAAATCACATGATTTGATTTTCGAAATGAAAAAAAAAAAAAAAAAAAGTTAAATAACTACATATAAAACCAACTACAAAAAAAAAATGAAACATTACTAGAGATACATGTATATATGTATGTATGTATGCAGTGTTATTGAAATTGCGGAATTGTTGTTGCTAGTCTTAATAACCACTTCTTATTCCCTTAAAAGAAAAAAAAAAAACTCGAAAAATGCGTATAGATTTGAAAACTATAGACAATATGGCTTTAGGTAGCGCTTGGTTTTAGTTGATTATGAAAACGCATACTAAGGCTGTCTGCCTAAGGTGGACCCGTTCGTGGAGGGCTTACGTCAGTTTGTTTCGGAAGAGCAACTGTCTGGAACAATTTTTCTGCTTTGTCACAACAGCCAATCACCATAGATCGCTTTGGGGTTAACGCAGGGAAAACTGGTTTCCCATTACAAACGAGCTGATAATTGATTGGTTGAAAACGAACAACTTGCAATTTTTTTGGAAAGGAAGGAAAAAGTCGCCCGTCTTTCATTCAATAGTAAACCAGGCAGAAAAATTGCCCGAAACAGTTGTTCATCTGAAACAAACGCCGTGTGATATGGGCTTAAAAGAGAAACTGGCTCCTATACGCGTTATATGGTGGAAACTACCATGAATCTAGCCCGTCTGTCTAAAATCGAAGCCAGGTCGGAACGAGTAGTGTTCAGCGATTTTATCGCTCAGCCACTGGTGGGCCTTAGTTATTTCAGAAAAGACATCTTGTAAGGATCCTAAGTTTTACTAACGTTTATTTTATTTTAGGGCTGTACTATCACTTCTTCTTTTCTACTTCCGGCCAGAATTAAACGCTTTAACTTATTTATGCAAATTGTCTTGCTAACGCCAAATACTTAAGTTGTGGCTTTTTGTCAAGCAAGAGAGAGGAAGGAGTTATTCGAAGCAAGCCGCTTGCCACTGTAGTTTTTCACTCTGTTGCTGGTTGCCTTCAAGGCCAGAGGTTTAACCCTCTTGATAATTGCAGACGTATCGTAGTTTTAGCAGCTCGGCGTACTACATACGTACCTTTCTTTAAATAAAGGCCAATCTTAGTGCTAGGCACCTGTATACTAATTCAAAGTTAGTTTTAGTTAGTAGTTTTTATATTCTTACGTTCAAACCACAAGCAGTTGGTCTCTGTATTCCGAAATTTCGGAAATTCCTGTAAAGTATAGAAAATAAAGGGTTTCGTATACCCTTCCCGCTTGTATTGTCTACTTCACACATTCTTGAACATAGCTTGAGTAAGCTCCCTGTTCCTATTCAGGTCCAGTCATGTTTCCAAAGCAAGTCAAAAGAAACACTAGTCCTGATAATCTTTCAAAGCAGATACATTTGCTCCACTCCAACTGGCATTCCTGGAATCATTTGTAGAATACCTGTTTTGGTATCAGGAGTAATGACTGGCTGTTACGTCTTTTTTTGATAGCTTGAACTGTAGGAAAACATTGACGGTTGAGAAAAATCTTGATAAAATAGAACAGTACACGGCCAGAGGAAACGAAATCTAGCATAGAAGATGTTGTGCCGTAAGAGGGATGTATTTTGAATAATAATAATAATAACAAAGCCAGGCTTCTTTGCTCAAATGCCCTTTTCTCAAATTGCAATATCACGCTTGAGCTCAAGAGATGCTTGAACTTCACTTGCACTACTACAGGAGCTTTATTTTCCCGGAGGATTTCCCCGCACACACATGCATATATATGCAAAATATAAAATATCTATCTATCAAATAATAAATTAATAATAGTCCTTTAGCTCCTGTTCTTATTCTAAAAATAACAGAGCACTAATTTTTCAAACTAAAAGAAAAAGATACGTTATCTAATCTGTATTGTGCACTTATGGATGAAATCTGGACATTAATCTGTCATGCGATCTGAAATATAATAAAAGTATAAAAGGTTATCTGCCTTAGTATAAAAGGTTAACTGCCTCACAACTCCCTTCTCTTCCCTCTTCACGTCTGCTTCTTTTTGCTGCCGCTAGCCATGCAGAGTTTTACGTTTCTAAATTTTCTTTAATTCTTTAAGAAATGCAAGCTGCATAAAATTGTGGGGTGCATAGCGCACCTATATGGATGATGTGCATTATCAAGAAATAAAATTATGTGGGGGAATATACCGTTATGTGTGTTCTTCGAGTGTCATCTTTTTAAATACGCAGCAAACTTTCTCCAAGTTATAATGCAGAGACCCACCGCCAATCCACTGCAACTTTCTTTCACCAAGTCATCTTATTACAATAATGGATCAGTTATATTACAGTAATGGTCCTGTCTCATTACAATAATAGCGCAGTAATATATATACATATACACACTTAGCATTACATACTGATTTTTGAAGCAAATTTACGCAAATCCTCAAACTTCGCTTAGATTCACAAAATAAGATCGATTGCACATTTTGTTAGCGGAATTTTTTTTATTCAAAATTTAATAATTACAGCATTTTAACATTTTCTACTCCTTAAATCTATGTATAACTTTTAAAAAACGTCTGAATTTAAGAGCTACGAACTAGTATACAGTAACGTCTGGCTAAAGCTTAAAACATACCAGGATCTATAGGACACATAAAACCGCGAACAATAGATAAAACAGGGTATCGTATATGCATAGTTATAGTCACGTTTGATTAAAAATGTATGCAGATAAGACATTTAATATCAAAAAATAAAGTAATAATAAATTTCTTTGGGCATTAGGTTGCATTATATATATATTACACTGTTCTATTAATTATAGTAATGTAAAATACAGGTGCCCGTAATTTAATCATGGGATAACAAAATTAAATTGAAACTTAATTTTATGAAGTAACAGGAAATAATTTTTATCGGTATAATCTTTAGTTCAAGGAATTTCGTTTCTTCTCCTTTTTGGGAAAAGCAACAGGAAACTTGTTAAAATGGCATTATGCACTGAAATACAATGTACGTTCTCTGCTTATGGGAAAGTAAATCTTCAAAAACAGATTAGAGGCGATTCCGACATGAATATAATAAACCTTCATCAACGGAACAATCAATTAAAAGCTGGTTAAAATAGTTTCGAGAAACCGCTCATGTTTCGCATAAGCGTAGGTAGGCCAAGCCCCAGTGATGAAAATGTCATTCGAGATGTACTTGTGCGTAATCCCAGTAAATCGCTTCGCCGTACCAGCCTCGGCGAGGTAAATCTTAAGTTAACATTCGATGCGCACTAACTCATAATAAAGTGCTTGGTCCCTTCTTTTTCATCAATTAATTCGGATGATTACTTCGATTTGGTGAGATTGTTTTCGGTATAGTAATTAGAAGAAATGTAACCAATCTTTTTTTTCTCAAAGAATGGGCCGGGCCCCTGTCGTTGGCTACAAATGTACGCGTTAATTGATGAAACATTCCAAGATCGTTGGACTGGTAGAGGTGGACCAATTTTATGGCCACTGCGTTCTCCGCAATTAACACCACTCGACTTCTTTACTGCGGATTTCTAAAGAACCGAATTTATGCTGCAGAGATTCTCAGAGCCGAAGAATTAAAAGATCGAATCCCTACAGAAACAGCTACTGTGACTCCGCAAAACCTTGTAGAGTCATTAGGTTACATGAAGAATGAGTAATTCCCTCGCCGGACTCGAACCTGGACCTCAAAAATACGCGCCGAGTGTGTTACCGTTACCACATGAAGGCATGCTGGAAGGAGGGAGAAACTATCTTATATACTTCCCCTTTTAAACAGAAACTGGGGATTTGGACAACCAATCGCCAAATATTAGTGGTGACGAATTATCATCCATCACCTTTTAGTTCGGGCACCACGGTACAGTCATTAGGTTTTTTCTGAATTAGAAGACGTGAAAAATGAGCAATGCCCACGCCGGGAATCGAATTTGGACCTCTCGAATACGCACCGAGTGCGTTACACCACGAAAGCATGCTGGAAGGAGTTAAAAAATACCTTATATGCTTAATAACCTCTGGACAGAAATCGAGGCAGACTTTATATTCTCCGAGCAACTAATAGTGCTCATGTTGAAGTGTATTAATATAAAATTCTTTAAGTACTAAATAAAATTCAGTCAGTCATTTTTTCCATATCTTTTATTCTGTATTATTTAAAACATATTTAAAACATCCGGTGAATAAATTGTGGACACCCTGTATATAGTTCACTCAGGTATATTCTCTCTCGTACCTGTGAAAGTATGAGAAGAATATCTCCTAGGGCGAATTTTGGTACTATTTTTTTTCTTTCGTGGAACTCATCTTTCCATGTCCTTCACAGTCTGTATATGAAATTTGGTTTTATTCTGTTCATTAGTTTTAGTTACAGAACAGGGAATGTTATTCTAAAACCACCCTGTATTATAAGTTCTTAACTTGCAGGATTTACAAATTAATATTATATATTAATATTGCTTAGTAAGAAGAATACATTAAATGAGAACAGTTTTAGAGAAAAAAGTAATTAATTCGAAGATTAATTACTTTTCTCTCTAAGTAAATTTTCTACACTGGAATAGACTTCTAAAATCATTCAAGCATTTTTCAGTTTGTGAATGTAAATTTATTGTTCATTTGCTGGTGAATACTATAATATTATTAGATTTACTGTCTAGCTTAAAAAAGTACCATAAAATTATAAATATAAAACGATTTTGTTTGCATATTGATCCCTTATTAATTCCATCACTGATGTATTTTTTGAAGTATATATTAGGTTTATCACAGTTAACAAATTTATAAAATATATGCCAATAATTTAGCACAGAAATTAAACCATATTTACTTAATTTTCACTTTATATTTTGATCAATATTTTTTAATTTTATAAATTATACTGAGAATTTGAAATTTGAAGACTGAAAATTCTGTACACTTTTCAGGAATATTCTCTGCTTTCCAATAAAAGACGATAAAGGTAAGATTTGCTTTTTTTTTTTTTTTTTTTTTTTTTTTTTTTTTTTTTTTTTTTTTCATTTTTTCTAAATGGATATGTCTTCTTGCAAATTACATTATTGATTCGTTTTTTGCGCAGGTGTGATAGGTGTTGCCGAACTTTGTAATAAAATCAATGAGCGATGTTTCTCTTTCTTTGATGAAGAAATCGCCAAAGCTTTTTCGATCTACTGTGGAATCAGCATAATGCATGTAAGAATTTTTAAATAACATGTCTTTATGCTCTTTCAAAAAATTGCTTTCATAATGTAATTTATATAAAAGCATAATTACATGTTGATGTTAATGGCGGTTTATATTACATCCTTAAATGCGGCTGAATCTTATCAATATCCAATCGAATAAAAGGTAGTAAATAAATCTAGAGATAAGCGAGACATTGCAGAATTTTTATCCCAAGAGGACTATTTTCCTGGAATCCTGATTGTCTTTTGATTTACTTTAAATATAAACAATGTAAATGCGTTGTTTCCCTTTTCATTCGAGTTTGTTGCCATTCGGTAAAATGTAAGATATTTATTTTCAAACTTAATCTGTCTGTTATTGGCTAACAAACTAAACTATTTAGAAGCAATAGATGCAATTCTTGAAAGTAATATTTTTTACTTTTTAATCTGATTCATTTAAATAAAAACGTATTTAATTCATAATAAGTTAAGTTAATTAACCAGTTATTATGATTTAAATCTGTATTATATAACTTCCCCTTTCCGTATTCCTCGCCAGAATGCAAAGTAGATTTGTATGTATTTAAGGTGAGGGTTTTGTATATTTAGTTTAAAGCTTCTGGCAACCGCGTCTTTCCATTAGTATTCAAGCCACATCTGTTTAAAAGTTAAATTCTGGTTTTAGCATCTCGCTAGCCGATATTCTAAAATACGCATTAGTGAAATATCTGAGTCGGCTTTTATAAATGAGCCTATTTTATGTGTAGTTTTAGACTACGTTGCCACGTTGAATTTTGTTTATGTTAATTTAAATATCCGTAACTAGCGTAAGTTATCGTCTGTAGAAGATGTTATGCCTGTCCTGTTACATTAAGCTTCAAGTCTAACCTTCTTCAATATTTTGAAAATTCTCTAAAACGTTACGATAACTCGCTATTTGTCTAGTATGGTCTGTAGAACTTTAGCTTCCAGTTGCAACAAAAACCCTGCAATCTAAATAGAAACATTCAATATTTTTATACAATTAGGTAATACAAATTTTCACTTTTCAACTATACAGAAGCTATATAAAGCTGCCATTAAGTCTAACTGTATATTCGATTAATATCCTACAAAATGTTTTGATCTACCTGGCCATCACTACTGAAAATCCCAACTGATAAATTCAATTAAACTTTAAAAGATCTCTTTTGGACGACTATTAAAATAGGAATCCTTTCATAATTTTTAATGTAATTACTTATTTATTTATTTACGTATAATTTTATATTACATTTATGAAAAATAATAAAATTCTTTTTTTATATTTGTTCGAATTTATAAAAATATGCATTTCTCATTTTAAAGTCTGTGCTCATTCATATTGTATTAAAAAACTGTTCAATTAAATTATTCCTTTCTTCCATAAATTTTCTGCCTAAGATTCCAAGCTTTATGTAAAATTTAACATCACAATTCGAACATTTTTTACTTTTATAATAATTCCTCGAACATTTTTTACTTTTATAATAATTGTTCGAAATATTTCTTTGAACACTGTTATTATTTGTCAAACGTTTGTTAATTTCCTTTATTTACATAATTCATATGGCATATGCATGTTACATTGTTTATTGTTGCAAAAGCAAACCGTTTCTAAAATTATAAACTCTCATTTAAACTAATAATTTTTTAATATTTGTATTTAAATTTATATGATTTGTATTCTTTTACCTTTTGGCTTAACGATAATTTCAGCCTAACGTACACAGAGTTTCCATTTCTGAATATTTGCGTAATTATCCGTACAACTTTAAACTAAATACCAAAGGTAATGACGTTTTACTTGGTGAATATATAAATAACAGTTTCAATTTTCTAAATTCTATTCGTGTAATACGAGGAAACTGAAATTTTACTACTGCTGTATGAGAAACTCTTAGCTGGTAAAACATGCATGAACTTTTGATAATAATTTTCATTACTGTAAATCCTTCACTGTTTTTTAGTCGTTTGTTACTTCACTAACTAAGAACGCAACTCTAGACCGGTAACTTAAGAAATAAGCTATTATTACAGCAAAATGCATTAGAAAATTAGAAAAATTTAATCAAGAAATTATTGTAGTGAAAATTAAATAAATTACTGTGCTGAAAAAAGGTCAAAATTGCTCGTTTATTTTAATAAAACTAAATACAGAATTGAATAAAAAGTTTTTTCATAAATGATAATAAATACTCTTTCAATGTAAAGTTGCCAATAAAATGTTTTAAAAATTATCAATAAATATTTAATATAACCCTAAGCGGGGCGCTAGCAATAATTTATGAAGAAACAGTTCTTTAAGAAAGCATTTGAGTTAAAAAATAACGCAATATTTTTTGTATCTTGTGATGTAGCCGTTCCTCAATAGACACTAATGCCGGCTAGCTTTAAACGGATTTATTAACAGAGCACACAGGAACGGTTACAAACAAAAGAAATATACATAAAAATGAAACATATACCAAATGGAACATCAAACATTGAGAATAACATAACATAGTAAGCTATCATCATGGCGCCTGGAGGTCGACTGACGTTTTTTCATATCGCCACGAGATGGCGTTTAAATAAAATAGTTCGGTTACAGTTCATGACATGAATAAAATAGTTTCAATTACACTTAAATAGGTCTTTACATCCTCCCCTCTGACTTCGTAGACGTCTCGGCAAGAAGTCAGGAACTGACATTTGTCTACTTTGTGCAGCGGGGCGGAGAATCAGATGGACGGGCTCCAGTTTGACGAGGAGTAGATTTTGCGTCACCAGCACCTTGTGCAACAGGTACAGATTCGGATGGTATTACACGTTTCGGGCGTCCTCTTTTCTTTAAGGGAACCACTGGAATTACACGAGCTGAGTTTTGCTTATTTCGATCTTGATATGGTTTCAAGGCTGAAACATGATACTTGCCGAGAATTTTGTCTGGTTCATGAGGATCGGCAATATCATAAGTGGTTGGAGATCTTATAGTCACTATTACATAAGGACCATCTCTCTTGGGCATGAATTTAGCAGTTTTCTTCAGTGGACCTTTGCTGATTGGGTGGAGGGTGACCCAAACTTTATCTCCAGGAACAAATTTCGGTGTTTCTCTTCGTTTTTTGTCAGCATATCGTTTCTGCTTATCTTGATGCATTTCGACTCTTTCTCGTACCTGTTGTACATTTCTTGCAAAACGTTTCAAATATGGAGTAATTTCGGGAACAAAATTATCGTTCTCAATTACGGCTTTTATATCATGCTTTACATCATCTAAGGTTCGTAACTCTCGTGCAAATTGAAGAAAAGCAGCAGAATGTCCACTTGAAGCACATTTGGCTGTATTCAAAGCAAACCTTATTAATGGCAGTTTATCCTTCCATGACTGATGGTCGTTACCAACAAGAATTGCTAAACGTGGTTTCAGATCTCTATTCTTCCTTTCAACTGGGTTAGATTGTGGGTGATAGACAGGAGTAAGACTTTGATCAATGTTCAAGATATAGCATAGTTGTTGCATAACAGCACTAGTAAACTGGGTACCATTATCACTTATTATTTTCCTAGGTAACCCAAATCGAAGGGCGACTTCCTCCAAAAGAATAGTGGCACATTCTCTGGCCGTGGCTTCCTATAAAGCAAATAGTTCTGTCCACTTCATAGCACAGTCCTTCACAATAAAAATCCATTTTTCAGCAGACGGTGTTTCAGGAAGGGGACCGAAAAGATCAATTGACAAGGTTTCAAAACGTTGAGCATAGACTGGAATTTGAAGTAAGCCAGATGGCTTTTGATTAGTGGTTTCTCCCCCTACTTTGAAGACAGTGTGATATTTGTTAAGCAATGCATAAGTTGCAAGCCGTTGGGCTGTAGTTAATTGTTGTCCTTCGTTTTCTCCGTAGTTGGCAGTTGTTTACAACAACTGGGATTTCTTCCAGTACTTGGGATTGATGAGGTTTCACGAAGCTATATTTTTTCTTCGAGGTTCATCAGAAAAGTTCCACTTATTTTCAGCAAGATTTAAAACAATTTTAGCTTTTTGAAGAAAGTCAATTCCTAACAGAGTCGAGTTATTTTTGGCATCAGGCAACACAAGGAGTCGGAGTTTTGAACTCTCTGCCCTTCGAGAAGAATAATTTGTTCGGTGCGAAGTACCCTCTTTTTCAGATGCCAAACCATCAGCGAAAGACACCTCTAGTGTTCGTCTTTTCAAATACTGCATCCTTGTTGCTAATTAATATGGATAGAGGGAATTCACTTGCGACTTGAGTTGACTAGCACCAGTGTCGGCGAAGGCTGTACCGGAAACACCATCTCAATACTAATTGGAAATACAGCAGTCCGAGTGGAAGATAAACAGGATCGAATTTGGATAGTGCCAAAATTTGATGAATTTGAAGTCTTTGGGGGGTTACAGTCTGGACATTTAGACTTGATAAAACCAGTTTTTCCGCACCCATAGCATGTTAAAGGAGGTCGCTTTTCCTCTGTTTGTTGCTGACTACGATTTAAAAAGGTTTTATGAGTTCCCTGTACGTCACTTGTTCGATTTCCTACTTTGTGTTTGGATGGATTAGTCGGTTTGTAAGAATAGTTCCGCCTGCCAGGAAGTTCAGTTTTATAGTTCGTATTTTTAACACGTACAGCTTCATAATCATCCAATTTCTGTACTAATTCAGATGAACTCTTTATTTTTCCACAAGTATCAATAAAATGCTCCTTAACATCACTACTGACTCTTCTTTTAAGCTGATCCAGTCAGGACCAAGTCTTTGAGTGATTCAAAGTCTGTAACATCGAGACTATGGAGCCGCTCTTCGAGATAATTGTTTAATTCGTAAGTAAAATCTTTCCATAAAGACCCAGGGTGTTTTTGGGTGTGTAGGTAAGTTTAATTCGAAATGATTCAGCATTTAATTTGAATCTTTGTAGCAGAATCTTCTTGAATGTAAGAATAATCTTCTAATTTGTCTTTTGGTTCTCTTAAAATAATTTGCGAAATGTCCTATAGGCAGAAGAGGTAGGAGATGAGTGATGTAATCTATTTGTTTTATATTAACTTTCTCACCATTGTCTTTCAAAAATTTGCAGGTAGGTTGCAATGTCAGAAGTTCCTGTAAATTTAGGGATTAGGTGTTGAATATTTGTTTCCAATAGCTGCATTTGAAGCAAAGGCGGCATAGTTAGGGTTTGAGCTAGCAGCTGCCAGGTTTAATTTTAAACGTTCCAATTCTAATAAAAGTTCTTGTTCTTTTCTTTGACGTGTCTCCAGATCGTTGCTTTCACGTTGTTTTTTGTTGTCTAGTTTCGATTAAAGTTTCCAGAAGATTCCTGGTAAAAGCCTTCATCATAAGTGTCAGAATTGACATAAGATCTTTAAGATCTATCACTCGCATAGTGTCGTTTACAGTGAAGCCCAGTTCTGTAGCGAGAGTTTTTAAATCCTCTTTTCGTGCTTTTGGCAAGGTAAGCCATAATTATATGGCTTATAATGAGAGGTCAGGGGGGAGGGGAAAAGATGAAGTTGAATTTGTTGGTATTTCGATTTTATTCACAATACAGTATTTTTACACTTCCAATATTTTCGAATTAATAATTATACCTTTTGAAGTAAAATGTATAGACCCCTATTAAACAGCATGTATGAATGTAAACAATGTTACTCGTTACATTTATATACCACAATTAAAACAGTATTTATAAAATGTAAACAATAATACACACAAAGTTTATTATTTCTGGAGTCCGTAAAAATATCATAAAATGCCCTCTATAACTTCCAACTTGTATCAAGAAAATAGCATATAATAAATTGCTCAAAAATTGTTATTACTACTTAGCAAAACATACAAAAACATACATAAATGTCCTTATCCATAAGCTTTTATATTAAGCGAATTGCTTCGAATTCTTCTAAATCTTAATCTTTAACAAAACATTAAGCTGATTAAGCAACACACACTTAGTAATTCTTTTACCTTTAGTTTAAATAGTCATTCGATTTTATTCACAATTATTTTCTTTCGCTTTCAAGAAATATTTTTTAAGACATGCATTCATTAAATTGGAAAACAATCGTATATTTTCTTAAAGTATTATACTATAATCATTTGCTCAAAATGTTCGTCGAAGATAAATCAACAAGTATAATATTTTATTTTATGTAAGATAAAACATTTAATGAGGAACAACAGCACTCAAAGGGAAATAAAATAATAATATAGATTTGACGTAAAGACTACATCATAAATCATCGCTAGTCTAAACATTTCCGCGCGGGGATGGAAACATCTGCTGCTGTAAGTTAGAAAGTTAGAATCGAAACTAATAAATTCTAATGAACAATGTCCGTGAATATATTCAGAACTTTATCATCAAAACATGAATTCAGTGAAACAAAAATAGTACCCACAAGTTAATTTATATGCATATTTTAAATAACGCGCATTAACATTTTAAAATAACAAATTACACTTCAAGTGAATAACCGTTTCGGTTAACAGAAAGCCGTTTGCTTTCGTTTAATACTCTTATGTAGTATCAATAAATCAGATTTCAGTAAGGAATTTACATTTGCTTTAAGAAACAGCTTATAATAAATAATCAGTTTAAAAGAACTTTAAACTCAGATTAAACGATAATGTGAACGAAACTTATCTTTTCCGTTGAAATTGTCCAGTTGATGATTCGATGTGCTAGCAGCACGGTATGACAATTTTAATTCCAGAATTGGTTTCCAGAATATTTGAAAAGAAACTGAGCCGATCTCCAGCAACTAAAAGTTAAATTCGGGAGTAAGAGGCTTGTTAAAGCCAAACAGAAATTCTAAACATTTTGTTGCGCCATTTTGGATTCAAATTTAGTTGGGCGCCAATGTGATGTAGCCGTTCCTCAATAGACACTAATGCCGGCTAGCTTTTAAAGGATTTATTAACAGAGCACACAGGAACGGTTACAAACAAAAGAAATATACATAAAAATGAAACATATACCAAATGGAACATCAAACATTGAGAATAACATAACATAGTAAGCTATCATCATGGCGCCTGGAGGTCGACTGACGTTTTTTCATATCGCCACGAGATGGCGTTTAAATAAAATAGTTCGGTTACAGTTCATGACATGAATAAAATAGTTCAATTACACTTAAATAGGTCTGTTACAATCTTTCAATTAAAAAAATATTCTGCTTCTGGAATTTTCTTTAAAAATTAGTGCATTATATGACATGAAAACATGAAACTTTCAACAAGGAAGAGTAAGAAAATCGTTTGCTGCGACGAAAAATGAGTTTTAAATGACAAAGAAGAAAATTTGTTGAAAGCAGGGTAAATTATTATTTGTGTATTCTATTTTATTTTTAGTCGCTGATGTGGAAGAAAGTTCGAGATGCTCAACATAGAAGCAGATTATCTAATGAGCTTATGATGTATCACATGCAGGTAAATTAATATTATTAGCACCACCTATTCATTAATATAATTTTTGATGACTATTTGTATTTAACATATGATTACGTTTTTATAAAATTTGCATCAATATTTATCGCTTAGATTCAAGTAAACCGAAACACTAGGAGGTATTATCATAAATTTTGTACAATATTATGATGGTTTACTATATTTCATGCAAAGAAAACATTCAGACATGGGTCTTTTCTGACAGCTCAGATGCATATAAAGAAGACAAAATGAGTTCGTAAGCAAATATCGATGATTCTTTTCTATCAAATTTTAAGATAGTAATAGACTTAAGTTAAAAGATGTCCTACAAAAATATAGCGGATAGGATACGCTGTATGTGATTTTTATAGACACAGAACATGAATTCGCGTCATTTTTGCTTCTTGAAAGGTTTCAAAGAATTCTTTCAAATGGTTTTGCGTTATATACACTGTGTTAAATACTTTTATGTTGAGAATCTATTGATCTGTATTATTTTTTTTGAGGGATATGGGATAATAAATGCAACGAGCATTGAAATATATACTTTTGTCCTTCATCTACTATAGAAAATATTTACATATAATTTTGTAAAAATGTCCAACAATGCACGTAATATTTTGTGTTCTTCATATTTTCTTACTTTTCTTAATTTTCAGCATAATATTGATTGCTATAATAATTATAATTAAAATTGCTATAAGTTAAGAATTTCTTAAATTATGTCCTCTACATTTTGACCACAGACGCTTTTTGATTATCCGCACTTGCGGTTTCAAATTTAGTCACAGTTGCCTGGTTTTTGGTGTATATTTTGGTATACATGCGACATTAGACAACCCAATACATGTGTGTGCAATACAATTGCTTGAGTGCATGTGGATTTACATGTTTTATAGTATTTATAATGACGATATAATAACGATATTTAAACGCCCATTTTGCTGATTAATGTACAGAAGAAATGCAAAGAAAATTATGGATAAATTATTAATTAATAGACGTATATAAAAGTACAGAATTTCAGACCGCAAAAATTTCACTGGTGGAAATTTTTAAGTAGAGAATGTAATGATCTCTATCAGAAACTCATGCCCGACAGCGTCGCTTCATGCCAAAAATAAGATCATCTACAGCGGATTGGGGTGGGTATCTGTGCCTATTCATGGAACAGACATATTCTCAGCTCGTAAAAATTCTAAGAAGGCTCAGAGATAAATTTTATATCTTCCAAACATGTCCTGACCGTGCTCGAGCGGAATCAAGTCGAGAATATCAACAGCCATTCTATACAAAACAACACTTCCAATTATCAGCCAGTAATGCAAACCTTTTATATTCGACTCGTGCCATAAAAAGACATACGGGTCCATGATCGCAATAAATGGGAGAATATATTCTGCACTACAGTCACCGTACCACGAGAGATGTTAGCTTACCGTCACTCAGATGATGTATTTCATTCATTTTTTAAAACACTATTGTTCCATTTTTTCCCCTAGGTTCAGTAATGAAGAGATAACAGGTTTTGCACAAAACTACAACATTTTTGCCGAACATGTTACGTTAAGAAAAAATATATGTATGCAAACACTTTTCTACGCTCTAATTACTGCATGCGTAACCTGCCATATGTAAGCAAATTTGAGGGCTACACATCCATTTTGACCTCTTTCCAATATATTTGAACGACGTTTTCGTATGACATCTGTACGTATGGACAGAATAAAGGAATGAATCTTTTTACTTCTTTGTACTAAGTAAACGAAGTATTGTAATCGCGAAAAATTTCGAGTATCATATTTCAATGAAGATGTCCATTTTGGCAGCTTTTGAATCTGTACGTACGGGCAGAATAAACGACTCGTTTTCTCAAAACGGATTGTAAAATGGATTTAAATGGATTCAAGAGAGATTTTTTTCGTGACGTCTGCACGCACGTACATATGCATGTATCTCGTATAACTCAAAAATGAGTAGCCTCAACGTTGACATTTTGTATAGGGTCAATTATGGTGGTTATTTTAGTATGGAAGCACCTAACACCGTTACCTGGCGTCCACCGTTACCTCCTGTGAAGGTACAAACAATTTACGTCTATGGGCTTCTCGGAGATCCGAACACAAGCATTTCGGTATCGCAGTCGGCTCTCTTAACCACTATACCGTCTGAGGCGGCTATCTACTAACACACATTAATTGTAGTATAGTATACGCTTATTAATGAAATTTATTGTTATCAAAAATTACTAAAGCATTTATTGTTTCAAAATGGTGCATTTTGTTACACTAATATGAGGTATGTTTTTACAATCTGAAAAATAAATAAAGGTTCTTATCTCAAATAAACTGTAGTCTGTTACTTTAAATAAGTACTTCAAAGTTTTTAGTACTTAAAGTTGTTGGTAAGTTATTTCAAAGTTGTAGAAACTCTCCGTTCATTTACGATCGTAACGTCTGTCGTAACCAACGCACAGACTGTCTCGGGAAATTTAGCAAATTAGAGGACTAGGCTTTTCTTCCTCAGCTGTCATTGCCATGGCTATGAAGCAACGATTTGGGGAAAAGAAATGGCCTTGAAGTGCCTGTTATAAAGTAATAGACTATAGAAACAGCTTATAATATTTTTCAGAAGTAATATTTTTCCGCAAAGAGGAAACTATAACGTTTAAAATAGCTCTTTTTTAGATACATTATAAGGATCTTAAGTTTTACTAACGTTTATTTTATTTTAAAACTTTACAGCCCTCGCTTATTTTCCACTTTTGGCCAGAATAAAAGTGTTAATCTGTTTATGCAAATTATGCTTGCTAACGTTTAAGTATTTAAGTTGTGGCGCTTCGCCAAGAACACAGTTAAAAGGGAAGAGAGTGAGCCTTCTTGCCACTTTATTTCACGCGTACTTTCAGTCAGTTGCTGTCCGCATTTAAGGCCAGAGGTTTAGTTCTTTTGATATCTAATACGTATTGTAGTTTTCCGCAGTTTGCATTCTACATACGTAATAATCTGAAAGACCAACCTTAGTGTTATTCATCTGTGTAAAGCATTCGAAGTTAGCTCTTACTGAAATTTAGTTCTTATTTTCTTACATTCAGACCACTTACTTCTACAATTTGCAGAACATAGTCTCCAATAGACTCACTGTTCTTTTCAGGACACCTAATATCTGTTCCCTAAACAGATTAGAAGATCAAGTAGTCTTAATGACATATAGCTATATATAATCATGTTTCATTTTTTAAATTTTAATTCTTTTATCATTTATGGAAAATTTATATTATTATTCTTCGTATTTAATCTCAGGTTCCTCCTGAAGATGTCACGAAGCTGGCGGAGATGGAGATTCTGTCTCCGGAACATTTCAGTGAGGACTTTGCGAAGCTCACCTTCATTCCTCGATCCTTGAAAGAGCAGGATACGCCTTTAGTGAGTACAATTTAGGACTCACCTGGTATTACTCATATGACAGAATGAATTGTTCTCTATTTTATGATAAATGAAATTACAATACTTTTAACGAAAAAATATTTCCTTTATTTTTAATGTACAGATAGATATAATTTAAAATTAAAATTAAAAGCAGATTCAAAAATCAGGTTCAGACACAGAAAGGCGGGGGAGGGGGAATGGATGCCATTCAGAACAGAGTATTCATTCAACTGCATAAAATTGATATGAGTAAAAAGTTTAATTAAATAATCTTGTGGCAAAATTAAAATTATAACGAAGAACAATTTTTCGAAAAAATAACATATCCTGCAAAGCAGAACAAAAACGGAACTCGATAAGACAGTGCAAATAATGACTCCATAAATCTAAGAAAAATGGAAAACAAGTTTGGATTTTAAAATTAAAATACTAAATGATTTTACATTTTCCATGACATTCTGATCAAGGTTTGGTGTCTTCAGAAATGAAAAAGAAACATAACCTATTTCTAAGTAACGCACAATTCAGAAAATTAATCAATCAATATTTATAAAAAATTTAACTAGGATAAACGAATAAGCTGCATATTAGTTGCTCAATCACGACAGACCGGAAAAGAAGATAATAGAATTTAGCTAAAATTTTAAAAGATGCATTCAAAATTGAATACTGTAGCCTTTTTTCATACATAATGAAATTATAGAATTTGGAAAATCGGACCATCTACTTTAATTGCATGCTTTTTCACAATTATATTAGATATGAAGTGCAATTTTACCAATAAATTAATGCTACTTCAATGGGTACTAACTATTCAACATCCATTTGTAAGCTCGTCCTCTTTGTTAAAGAGTATAATTTTGTGAACAAATTCCATAATCTTGAACTTTCAAATTCACCTGCAAGTATATTAATGGCATTACTGCCATTGATACTAACAATGAAAGTGAAAAACTATAACAAAAATAGCGTCGAAGAAACAGAATCAGAATATCTTGACTTCCAAATCCCTAACTTATATAAAATAAAACTTTATAATAATAATAAGAAGAAGAAGAAGAAAGACTTTTCGATATCAAAATCATTACTCTAAACAGCTGGCACTCAAGCATTTCCAGAAAAATAAATACTATTAAGAAATCATAAAGGAAAAACTGGAAATTCTGTAATGATACTGAAGAAATTTTAAAACAACTTTGAATTAAAATTCTCAAAAATAATAAAATTCCACATAATTTTTATAAAAACGCAGTTCTCTAAATCGCATTTGTCAGTCTAATTTTACACAGTTAAACTACTGATTTACATAAATTATTACACCTAAGCAGAGTAGAAGGTACATTGTTTTCAAAAATCTTCCGAATAAGTAATAATTTTGAATAAATTAGTTGATAATTTTTTACTGTTCTTTCAGTGATGAAGGAGCTTTGTTCAGTTTTAAAACCTATGGACACCTTCATATATAAAATATTTTTACTGTCTCAAACTTGTTTCGCTTCTGCTGTCTCTATTTTCTCTTTCTGGTCAAAAAACTAATTACAACCTTACTTATCAAGCTTTAGCAATTTATGAAATACTGCATTTTATGCAGTTTATTTTTCACATTTGAGGAAGCTTCTGTTAGGTAATTTTTTCACCTTTCTCATTTCAAAGTGCACTCGTTATATTACTTATTAATTTTATAGTTAGTTACAGTAGAAACTAAATAATTAATTTTTAAATTTTAATATTTTGCTATATTTAAATACACATTTTTCATTGGCAGGCACACCTTAAAGTTACCTTGTTAATGCAAGTTTATTCCCCCCTTTTTTACTATTTTTGAATAATAAATTAGATTAATATTTAAGTTATACTTGACTAATTAATGTGCGCAATATGCCTTTAGTACGAATTATGTAATTTTATTTAATCAATGCTCTTAATACATCTTTCGTATTTTGGTATAAATTTATTGCATGTTCTTCCTAGTATTTTTAACCGTATACCTATATAGTATATTTTCTCCATGCTACAAGTTGTTTACCTGCACGCATTTTTTCTTAAGGTATTATTATTATATTATTATTATTATTATTATTATTATTATTATTATTATTATTATTATTATTTTGTGCTGCATTCTTCTTTCGCTAGCACCGACTACATGCAGCAGCCATTTTCAGTTTTGACAGTATTCCGTTTCCCGAAATTTTAGCCAAAATGCTTTTTGACCTTCCAGCTTGTAAGAGTTAAGCAACTTACGTACATTTCATCTGTGTTTTCTAATTAATTTTTTAATATTAATTAATATTCTGAACTGTGAATTGGTTAGCTGAGAAACAGGCTATATTTACCTTTTACATATCTCAAGATTGTAAAGTCTTTTTAATTTTGTTTTTCTTTTTTCTGCAATTTATAGAATGCACGGTTTTGATCGAATTGGGTAGATTTTGAGTAAAACGGACAACCAAAAGTAGTACGTGAAGATGATAAATCATCATAAAATCAGATATAGGGCTTGCTGAGGGAACACAGATCCAAGGACCAACAAATTCTTCATTTTGCGTGATGAACTCTGGGTCTATTGATGTCATGTTAGGAAGGAATTGTTGGTTCTCGGTTAAGATTATATCCTAATTTTAAATTATACCGATTGCTATATAATTTGCGTAAACTTCTGGTCTGAGCGAGTTGTGTGATGGACCATGGATCATAAGATAGAAATTAACATAAACTAACTGTTAGTAAAGTTTAAATCGCAAATATCACGACACGCTATCTGAAAAATAATGGTACTGTATCGTTAGTTCATGAGGTAACATAATTATATAATATGTTTTAGAATACTTAGTCTATAGTTAGAAATAACAGTTGTTACATTTCCTGGAAGCGCATCTGTATTTCCAAACATAACTGTGGACATCGAGGCAACTTTCATTTTCAGTTTTATTTCATTAACAACGTCTGAAATTGATATCTGAAATAGGTACAGAGATTCTTTCTTCAGATGGACTAAATTTTCGACTTTCTACAGTAAATATGGGTGTTTGTGGAAGATCTCGACTGATACGCCAAACTAGGCGTGTGTAACTTTGTGAAGGCTAAGGAAGAGACCTATCTTTTTTCAATGCGCCATTCTCGAAACAGAATAACTTAGCCTAGTCATTGAGAAGTTCTGTTAGGCGTCTCATCCCCAAAAATAGCCCATCACATTTCCCACTCAAACTCAGAAATGTACTAATGGTAGTACCATTCTTAAGATGGTTAGTGTGCTGGGGCGTTACTAGTACGATCCGTAGTGAAGTCTCTGGGGCTCCAGTCACTTCTACTACCTACCTACCCCCTTATTGGTAAATGATGATAAGAATGTCGGAAAGCAGATCTTCCACATTCTTATTCTAGGAACACAAATAATACTACCTTCTGCACCCTGAAATACATGCGCCCGTTAATAGTAGCGCAAAACCCTAGAACTATTTTTAAAAACTTAGTTATGTCTTTCTCTTTCAGGCTGTCATAAGCATGTTCGAAGATATGGGCATGATTCACAGGTGGAGGATCCCCATTTTCACCCTATCCAAGTGAGTCACGCTTTGGTAAATTTCCATGTAAACTGCAACCGACTTACTGTCATAGGATCGCAGTAGTGTTCATCAATCTCGGTGTGTTTTCCTCCCGACAGATTCGTGTTGATGGTGAGAAAGGGCTATCGGGATCCTCCCTATCACAACTGGATGCACGCCTTCTCTGTCGCACACTTTTGCTACCTCTTACACAAGAACGTGGGACTGATGGGAAATTATCTGTCGTAAGTTTTTATTACTTTTTCAGAACGTCAGCTGGTTCTGATTTTAAGTATTTATCTTTTTTTGTATGCGAATGATAAAATAATAAGCAAGTACAGCAATTCTTCGCATAGCAGTGCTTCGATCAGTCAGGATTCACTATACTCTAGTTTGAAAATTTCCAAAACGAACTAAATTCTAATTGAACAAAATAAAGACGAAGTCTAAAACATTAGTATTACAAAATTATTTTTAATATATATAAATGATGTTCATGTCCCTTTACATAGCTAATTTTTGTAGGGTTTATATTTATTTCGTTTTAAATTCAGGCGATATGATACACTACTTCAATATTTATTCGATTCCCCGTTGTAGGATAAGGTTGCGTAAATTTTACCCCCTAAGAAAAAATAAGTAATAAATCGTAGGATTTATGAAAAAAAAATTATGTATGGTAATAATATCTTGCGTTGTCGTTGCTGATAGTTATTACAATAAAATTCCATATAGTCTACTCTCCTGTGTAAAATTAGTAAAATTTATGAACACGAATTTAATGATTTAGATAACTAGTATTCCAAGTCGTACCACCTAATAGCTTAAGTCACACTAAATTTAAAAGTAGACAATTGTAATAAAATTTTCTTTTTCTCAATTAATTTATTTATATAACTAATTGCAACAATGATCACAAGGATATTTTCTTCATCTTCTTTTCAATTCTAGCACATTAAGACTTGTACCCATATTTTGCATTTTAGGCTCTGAATCAAGTTCTCTTCGCGGCCTTCCTCACAAATATTACAGGGAGACGAACACGATGTGAAACAATATGGTGGACTAGGGGATAACTCATTTTTACTGGAAAAGGCGCAGTTGGCGTAATATTAAGCCTATTATTTAAAAGGTGCAACCTTACTGTATATGTATGTATTTGTGTTAATAAACCAGATAATAAAACATTTAGTTATATATACGAACAACGAGCTTATGTCGAACGGGGGCTCAGGTTAAGATAAGGACAAGAGTATTAAGTTTCTGCGCGAGAAGTAACAGCTGAATAACTGTCAAAAATTAATTAAATAATTGAAATTTTGCTAGAGCATAATCACCGAAGTTGATCCCAATGCTGAATATAGCCTTACTATTCGTCGAATGCTAAACAATGCAATTCATTGCCACCAAAAAAAGTATGAAAATGAAAGACTAAAGAAGAAAAATGTACAGACAATCGATATTGCAGATTTTAGAGGATAAAAAATGAATTACGATTAGTATACATTTTTAAAAGTTACTTCTAAGAACTAGACTTTCTGCCGCCCGAGGTATGGTGCCCCTCTTAATGCACACCACAAAATCAAATATATGAAATGTTAAAAGACTTACATCGAAGTAAATAAAATCTTAATTCCAACATTTAAGTGCTATTTTGTTTAGTTTTCTGTTAGCAAAATCGATGATGACATTCTAGAAGTTTCCTTCGTTACTGCAGTTGCTTCGCTCTAGATATAAGTACTATTACGTACAAGATACTCCATCTTTAGATCTTATAAGCTTCTTAACCGATCTATAGCCATAAAAACTTCTCTCACAGCAAGTAATACTTTTAGCAAGTGGGAGAAAATTCTAATTTGATTTATAACATTAGGAATATTTTGGGGGGCATGCTATTTTAGAATAAAGTGTAAAACTTCAAAGAGATTGCCGTTTTGCTATTCGGTTTCGTCTTTTCAAACCGTAACAGAAACTATGAATTATTTTTCTCTGAGCAAGTTATTCTTCCGTATAATGTCATTAGCATAATTTGGCATTCACATTTCCCATTCCAAAAGGTTTCCTCGACTAAGAAAGGCATATTAAGAATTTGAAGCTATTGAAGAATCTTTGTAATTTCTTTGACTATTTTATCCACTGTAGAAATAATTCTCTCCTGGATTCAGTTTAGGCCCAGTTCACAATTTGGCATATCGTGATTCTTCATCTCACCAATGATACGATAGCTGAATACTTGTACTTTGATTTAGGATTAAATTTCAAACAGCCAGCTGATTTACCTTATGTGTAAGGTAGGGTATGTAACATTGCATTCAGTCATACGTGCATGCGAGCCAGTGCCTCTTTGATAACGTAAATATGAGCCAGTTCCCATTTTTTAAAACCCATGCTATGAATTTCATTCCTTCACAAAGGCATTTTGCCCCTTAGAAAAAAACATTGTGAACTTTATTTAAATCTGGTAAATAGCAATCAGTTTTTGTGCTCCTAAGATCCAGACGTCTATTTCCTATACTATGTTTCACATGAAAAATAGCGCCTCACAAAATGTGCCGTCCGGAGCATACCGTCCCCTCTAGTTCCGCCGCTAGGAATATGTGAACGGGTATCCGTATTTGCACATGGTAAAAATGTGTTAATATCACAGCTGCAAGAGAAAGGAATCATGGAATCCATCGCTAGAATCTTTTGTGGGTACGGAAGAACGAAGCTTCAGCACATTTTGTTATTCAAGTGCGTGATTTCCTCAGTGAGCAATTTCAACCTGCTCGACTAGGCTAAGTTCTCCAACATCTCCAACCCGAATGAATTATCCCCCACGAAATGCCCGGATCTTTCAGCTCAACAAAACTCATTTTCAGGAATAATCAAGTCACATATCTCTCAGAACAGATGAAGACTAGAAGCGAAAGCATGGTGGAAGCCTTACAAAAGATAACCCCGCAGATGCTCTAAAATATGTGAAGGATAGCACGATCGAGAACATATACATCTACTCGGTACATAGCTCGTGTATGTAAGTACTGAACCATAGTATAGCTTATAAATAAAATAAAATTATACTGATATTGCTCTCTGTGACACTAAAACCATCAAATGTACGTCACGACACTTGAATTCCCTACAGCATGTGAAAGAACATGCTAGGAAGATGTATTTCAAGCTGCAGTGTGTTCTGCCAAATATCTTCGATCATTCTGTAAAAATGAGAATTTTTATCGCAAGCTCGTGAAGCAAGCTTGTGCTGGTGCAAGCTTTATGAAGCTTACGTTCTATCCCGTGGCATCACATCCGCTATAAGGCAAGTAATACTAGTAGTGGACATCTCAACGTCACTTTTAACCTCATGCAAAATATTCCAGCAACCAAAATACAGAACCATACTTCAAACACTTTTTCTTGGGATTATTTTAAATTTTAGAAACTGGTGTATTTTTTCTTAACGGAAGCTTATTCTATTAATTTTATTAAAAGCCAAACAATAGTTTTTTTTTAAAACTAATCTATTTCATTTGCTATTTTTTTAAACATAACGCAAAATAAGGTGAATAAATTAAAATAATTAATTTTCCATCTTATTAAAATGCAGTGAAACCTGTCAAATTGATTTGTTCGCCTTTTCTACTGAGGCAAAAGAAGTTTTTTTTTTTAATTGAAAGCATATTATTTCTACTTTAGTGAGTTAGAAAGCTTGGCTTTGTTCATCGCCTGTCTGTGCCACGATCTGGATCACAGAGGAACGAATAACAATTTCCAAGTTGCCTCGGTAAGTGCTCATACGTGAATGTTTTCCTGAGATTTCTTGTTCCTTATGCATCTGAACTGAAATTTGTGTTTTTGATTAGGACTTTATCCGTAACACTAGAGCAGAATTGTGTTGACTTTACGATAGTTATAAACGTATGCAGGATATTAAAAAAAATTCTGTCAAATATAAAGGAATTTCCTGTACTTATTAAGACTCAGAAAGATAAAGATCAATAACTGAGCAATTAATTTAAAATTTAGATATATTGTTGAATTTCGTCAAGAGCTGCCCTTGCCGGTCTATTAATGGCAAAGTGCACACTGAACACTCGTAGCTCGTGTGGGATAAGGGAAGAATCTGGCTGTGAAGAAGTTTTGTGAATTTCTCTATATACAATGAAACGTTGTATCAGTTTTCTTAAAACGTCCTCCCTTCCTTAGGAAAATAGCCCTCGAATGCTTTACTATAATCAATTAAACCAAACTAATTCAGAGCTTTGCTATAAATAACTAATGTAACCTTTCTTCATACGATATTAATCAAAATCGCATGCGAAAGCTTAAATTGTTTAATAATAACTTATTGTCAATTGTTAAACACAATTGTTTATCTGCGAAAACCACTACAATGCTTTCCAGCTTTGTTTTATAAGTCGACCACTGATTAATAGAATAAGAGTACCCAACACTGCAGCTTCTTTCTGGCTTCTCATTACAAAAACCGACTTTATAGCAGTGACAAAAAGCATAGCGGGACGGTTTAATCTGCTGTTAATTATCCGCGGGTTAACAAGAATAACTCATACTGGGTTATTTTAAGAAAACTACTATATCTTAGAGAAAGGTGTATTTCATGTCTCATATAAAAACGCATAAGACAGCATCCGCTTACTGTTTCTCAGTTCTAGATGAAAACAGGGCTAGATTTGTCCATTTATATAAATCCAAGTATTCGAGATATTTTCATTTTATAAACTTGTATTTAGTGTTTTATTATGGGGGGGGGAATTTCGTCATCGATTTTTAACCTGCTTCCTGATGAGCTATCGCGTTTAAGCTTTGTTCAACACTGTTTCTCAATGATGATGTAATGTAGTGAAATGATTTTGTCGAAATTCGATTTACATTGTTTTTCCTTATTTAACATTAAACGAATTTTCGTTTAACGAAGAAACTAAGCTTTTCATAATTTTTATGTAGCACCATTAACGAAGTAATTAAATGAATAAAGCAATATCTGTTCAATGAAACTTACATGAAAATTGCAAGTCAGTTTCTGAATTTTTGGCGAATTTTCGAAAATCGCTCGATTTTTTAGACTATTTGATATTTATGATTTTAAAATTTCAACGTCTAAAAATGTATCGGATGCAAATTTTTAAAATGGTCACATATTATGAGACAAAGTTTTCCCTACTCCTTTAAAGCAAGAGCGATAAAAAATATTAACTGATTGAGCGATTTTCTACATTTTTTTTTAAACGTGTTGCGTTGCAGTTTGAAGCAGACAAAGAAAAAAAGTTTCTCAAGTTAAAACTACCCTTGAATTTGCAATCTTGGGGCAATTAATGACGAACTGACAAGATTCGTTTTTTAAATTATAGTTTAAAGTAAAATGCTTGCTGTAGCGTTGTTATACCATACAATTTGCGAAATTGAATATTCAAATTGATTTATTCATTCTTTGAATGACGTTCAGTTATTTTTATTTATGTCATAATTTTCTTATAATTTATTTCAAACGTTTTAAATAGGATTAAAACTATTATCATTGATAAAGTGCTATTGAGACAAGAAAAAGTACAATTTAAAAAAGATTTTTATACCATAAGCTTGTCTTTAAAATGAACATGATAATTCACTAAAAGAAGAAAAAGAATTTATCATATAATTTAATGGGAATAATAGATTAAATAATTCTAGTTATAGAATTCATCTACAATTTTATATCTCGAATAATAAAAGCTCTGTTCTTAAATAACAAAATTATTAATTTAATTCCATTTTTAAAATGTATAAACCATTATCTTTTAAAATTTCCTATAAATTTAATTCCATTGTCAAATGTGTAAACTATTCTCTTTTTTAACTTATCATGGGAGCCCCACACTTTTATTATTCGCGATATAAAATTGTAGATGATTTCTGTAAATAGAAGCATTTAATCTGTTATCCCCATTAAATTATGTGATAAACTATTTTTCTCCTTTTACAGCATTAATTATTATACCATTTAAAATAAAAAAAACGAATCTGAAAAATTTCAGATTTCATATTACACCCAAAGGTGCTTTTGTTTTCCTTTACGCACATACACGTTTCGAGAGCATTTGGGCTAATGTCTCTTTAGGCTAAAAATATTTAAAAGCAGTATATCTTTAAAATTTCCGATAGAGTCTCACGTGGTAGAGACAATTCTTTTTCGTACAGTTTTGCCATAGCTCGCTTTGAAACCGTTGAGGTTGTTAATAAATAATTCTTTAAAATTTTACAAAATATGAAATAGACAATAAAATAAATTCGGAATTTAAAATTTGGGCTTCAAGGTGCCCGTGTTCGGGTGGAGGATTACCTTATTCAAAATTTGATGGCTCTAGGTACCGTTGTTCTTTCACAATGCGAGAAACATCCATATATTCATGCAGATTCTTGGTTACTTAATTTCTTTAAATATAATACAGAGAGATAATACTTGGTGGCAACAATTTCAAAAGTGATACGCCGTTTACAATGAACAGATGTAAAATGCCGTTTCGAGACTAATAGCCTTTCTGGGCTAACGCTCCTTTGGAATAAAAGCTTATTATAAAAAAAAAAACTTTTATTTTATTCTGTTTTATCCCATATCCCCGGAAATTTAATTTGCTATGCCTCACATTATCACATAAATCATTTCGATACATTTATAGTTTTTGAGTAATACTTTCCATAATCCTGTTGTTAATTATTCTATCTAAATCTATTTACGTTGCTACTATCTTTAATTGTAAATACAGACGGAATACAAACATTATTGAACTTTTACACTTACAAATTTCATCATCGATTCATAGCTTCAAGGTTAATATTTCAAATTTCTATAGATCTCAACAATTCTACAAAAATAAAGGGAAATCTCGTTCTAAGGGCGAAGCCGCTCTCCTTTAATGCGCTAACGCGAATGAATCCAACTGCACTGTTGATAAGTCGGCAAAGTGAAATTCTTTGAACTCACGACGGCATTCTGTTTAGATAACTCTGTATAAGCTACGTAGACAACTAATTATTTAAATCTTTCAAAGACCACCTAAGAAGTTTTAATTCTAATTTCTGAGGGAAATTGGATTTTAATTAAAATCAAGTAACATCGAAAAATACCTATGCAATAATCTTCGAACTTCAAATATTACAGTTGAAGAGAAACTATCAGTTTACAGTAGAATTGTTAAGTCGCTGTTGATATTCTGAAACTGATAGAAGCATGAATATTTTCCTCCAGAAATATTATGAAACACGAAAATAATAAGACTAAATTCCTTCTTTTATAGTGTTGATGTACAGGAATGTATTAGGAAACTGTACACTGTTTTCAGTTGCACAATTTATTGTTTTAAATTTTTTTATTTTTATTTTTCATTCTGGTTTTGTTTTTCTTTCCAGAAATCAGATTTAGCTGCATTATATTGTTCCGAGGGATCAGTAATGGAAGTAAGTATTCCCTGCTTTTATAAACTAAAGAATTAACAGGCCAGTTACTGACAGTTTGAACAAAAGATATTTATTTCTCTGCTTGTATTACCTGTTATTACAATTATGACCATGCAGATATCTACCTGTTTACTTCTCTATCTCTGCAACTATACGTATGCTCAGAAGTATTTTAACTCTTTTAGAAAAACTGAGTTTTAATTAGCTTATAAATGCAAAATTTGATTTGGGTAGTGTTTCTATGAAGCCTTTTATTTTCAATTTTTAAATTATAATTATGTTTGCCCGGCGACGCTTCATACATAAAAGAGGATAAAAATACCACATAATATCCTATTCTCTTTTATATTGTAATATTATTGAATCCATATGTCTTAAAGTGTTAAGTAATTATCACTTAAAACATAACAGAAATATGATACAATAAATTATTTGAATTACTGCAATTTTCACTTTCAAACTGAGAATTTTTGGTTGTTCAAGTGGCTGTTGTTTCCCATTAAAACGCTTATAATTTCATTTCTACTTATCGTAGATTTAAAATAGAGAAAGATGCAAAAGGCAAACGTTTCAAATGTTTTAATCAAAAATAAGATAAGAGTAGACAATATTACTGAATGTTTCGACACATTAGGATAATTTAAATTTGGCTTTTCACAGTGAATAATAGTATTATTTTTCTTATAGAGGCATCACTTTGCTCAAGCCATGGCCATACTGAACACAGATGGATGTAACGTTTTGGAAAATCTCTCTCGCAAAGTAAGAATTGTATAGAATGAATCTTTTATAATTAACCTCATTTGCAATCAAATATTTTTTAAATTTTTTTATACAAACATTAAAGAACTCTGATAAAACCTTTAATTTATTTTTCTTAATAAAACTAATGTGACATCTCTTCTCCATTCGTCATTTTGCTGAATATTAACCTCAAGGAGAAATCAAAGATTAAATAAAGAATTATTAGTTAGAGTATTAAGGAATTATTAATCATGGACCCTTTTACTGTACCACTTATTAATCATAGTACCATATTTTGACCTAGATCGTACTTTAAAATTTTGCACACTATAAAGTCTAAATACTTAGTAACTTACTTAGTAATACTTAGTATATAAATACTTAGTACTTAGTAAATACTTAGTATTTAGTATACACAAGTGCGCATAAATAACAAGCCCACGTAAACGCATATCAACGAAACTGCCGTAGCAAATCTGTCTAAAATGAGGTTCTCCATCCCGCATTGAGTGGCTTACGAAGCTCTTTCTAAATTTTATTTTATTTTTGCATATCTAATGTAAATAAGCATGTAATAAAAATGGCAAGAACCTTTGATGATATCCATAATGACAATCTCTTTCGAAGAAATACTGCTTTTCACATCAGAACCTATAAAGAATAATACCCAAAATGGGTAAATAAACGACAAAAAATTCATCAGAGGAGGTCTAGAAAAGCTACTTATTTTCCTTAATCCTTGATGAACCAATCAGACACTAATCAGCATTTAAATTTGATACGTACAACCGAGTAAGACTTTTCCCGTCAAAAAGAGTCCAGTCTTCTTCAAGGAATTTCTAAAGGAATTAGCATTCGTAAGACAATTAAAATATCTATAGATAAGTCTGAAGATTTTGTCAAATATTCAGCAGTTAGAAGATGGTGCACCTTCGACGATGGGCACGATATCTGGACTAACAGGCCTTTTAGTAGAAAATGACATAAATTGTATCCGTTGTATTCACCGCTCTATCATGTGCTTAATTAAAAAAGAAGGAAGAAAATTTTAAAAAGATATTCAAAGTTATCAATATAATAAGTTTAGTTCATTTTGCCACTTGATGCCTACCTGCCAAAGGGAAGAGTTACATCCGTGGAGAATGTTCTAAGGAAAACTATCATGTATACACATTACGCATGTTCAAAATCACGAAAATGCCCATGCAGCCAACCCGTTCGCGGGATTCGAACCCCGGACCGAGCTGCCAGTGTTCAGTAACTTTAATTCTTGGCCGCTGGTAGACTCAATATAACAAGCAGCAGTAAAGTACTTCTTTGTCCATCAGTTATGTTGTCAGGACTGCTATTCCTTCTAATTGACTTTGGTAACATATAATAATCCTGAATGGGAGCAGCGAGCTTACTCAAAACTATGTTCGTGTGTGTGTAGGATATACAACACAAGCACAAAGGGTTAACTTTACCCTTTATTTCTCACAGCGTACAGCCACTCCCGCACTTCGGGATACAGAGACCAGCACTTATGGTCTAAAACATAGAAAATAAGGAATAAACTAACTTACCTAAATAAGAACTAAACTTAAATGCTTCATAGAGACTAGTAACGGGAAGACTAGCTTTTCCGCTCGAGCTTATTCTGGCCGGAAATGGAAAATAAAAGAGGATAGCAAAGTTTTAAAATAAAATAAATGTTAGTAAAACTTAAAATCCTTACAATGTAAACTTTTAAAGAATATGGAATCAGATTAAGATTACTTACTTCTTTATTGTCAAGTGAAATGGTTACTCGTGAGAAGTTGTCTTAACAGATGATTTGAACTATAGAAAGAAATCCTAAATTTGCTTCAATGCATTGGTTCCATTATATTTCTTCATACAGTACATGAGGAGGAAGAAAGCTTTGAAGCAGTTGAATTTTTTTAAGTAGCCAGCGTTTTTAACAGATATTATAGGCCATTTAAATAAATTCATCTTCTTAAGATTACTGCGAACAGCCAGATTATGTCTGATCTTATGCAAGACATTTACGGATTCCGAAACTCACTGAAACTTTCTCATACTACTTCAAGAAAATATTATTTAACACATTTTAACATTGCAACGGTTTAATATTGGAATACAAAGAGGAAACATTGTATTTCTCAGAGTTCTGTAGAGATGTACAGATTAGCAGAAACGAATTTAGTTTAAGATTTAGACTTCGATGAAATAAATTACAAAATTACATCGTTAAATAATTCGTTCAGAGCTGGTATTGAAAGACAACACCCAGCTTACAAATGGAAATCTGTGAACTATTCTTTCAAACAAGGACAGAATATCCAGACTTCTCTCCAATGAATATTTTCATAGGTTGTATATAATGTGCGTCCTAATTTGTATGTTTGTGTAGTGGGAAAATGACGTCAATGTTTTGTAGTAATTATTAGCGTGAAAGCGCGTTCTTCAATAAAAAGTTTATCAAGAATCGGTACAAAAGCTGTCCCACGGAGTTTACTACATCTGGAATTCACAGTAACAGAAACTGATGAGTATGGTGTGGTGTTGGTGTATTTAATTACGGCAAAGCACACTAGGGCTATCTGCCAAAGGGGAGGGATGCCTTTCGTGGAGCACTTTCTAAGGGAAACTGGCTCGTATACACGTTACACATGGGGAAAACCACCGCTCGGCTTTACCGCTCGGCCACTGGTGGGCCTCTGATGAGTATGATTTAAATGGCTGGTTGTGGTATAAAAGATGCTTATAACGTTTATCTGCATCCATGTCCAAAATTATCTCTACATGCATGAAATCCTAAATTTTTCATAAACTGTGAACTATAATTTTATGAGTTTTTGTACAATGATATGCATCATTACAGCACATAGTAAATACAAAGTAAAAAAATAACAGCACTGCACACAATATAAAACTCTAGACTGAAACAATAAAAAATGGTTATAATATGTTACAAGGAGAGTTCAGAAAAAAAAATAATTCAAAAAACAATTAATGCCTATGAATTTCATATGGAATCTGTTCTTTCCTGACTTGTACACATGTGTGACAACGTGATGTTGTTAACCACAGTTTGGGGGATTAAATTTCACTCCTCCAGAACGTGGTCTCCAAGGCATTTACATCTCTAGACGAGGATATCTCCGTGCAACTACTTTTCCAAGGTAGCCCCTTAAGCTCTTTATCGGGTTAAGACCAGGAGATTTTGCTGAGCACGGCATATGCTAAATGCCTTCACTTTCAAGGAATTCGTCAACGAAGCTTGCTCGATGTGGACGAGCATTGTCATCTATAAATAAATAATCAAATCCATATGCACCTCTGAAAAGTCTTACATAAAGTTCTATGATCTCATCCTGATATCTCTGACCACAGATTCGCTGTTGAAAACGTGTAGGGGCATACGTCCATCGATCATTATTCCTTCCCCTACCATCACACCTACGTTATCGAAACGGTCACTTTCCATAATGTTCAAAGGAAGATTTCGGTCGATAACCTTGGCTTTCTGGCATAAAGGCCTTCTTATTACGCTTTCCGTGTTCAATTTGCCGTGATACAACAGTTCCAGTGGCGGCTTCAAGCTCTGTAATTAACTGCTGAGCAGTAGGCTTCCTATTATGAAGGGTAGTTATTGTCAGATATCGATCTTGAGAAGTACTTGTTATTCCTCTTCTAGCTGTTAGGCCTCCTTACAACACTTAACACAATTCCAGAGTTTTGAAACCGTTTCCACAAAATAACACTTAATGAGTAAATATGTTTGTGGTTCTCGGATACAATATAATTGGACACCATTGTATTATAGTACAGGAACAAGCCAATAAAATTATTGCAGAAAGCAAATCAAAGTTAACAAGTACTGTAACCAACCTTATGTCTTTTCGCACAATGCCCTACTAACAAAGTCTATAAGAAAAATTTCGACTTTATATGCAGTTTAATATGTTTTCTTCCCGGAAATTCCTCAAGCATGTAATATCGCATAAATTTAATAATCAGATTTTCAGATTCAGGAAGTCCATTTGAAATTAAATAATTCAGAAAATAACAGAATAGGCACCTCACCTCATAAGACAACCTTGAAAAATAAAATAGTTTAATTATGGTAGACCCTTTTAGTCTTTTACGAGGAAAGCCGTTCTGAACGCGATATTCCGAACCGATGTTTATTTATGTTTTCAGAAATATTGCTTTCTTTCAGATGGGGTCACCATGAAAAAGTTTAGTGTACGTTGTATGTCATCGAGAGTTGGCAAATTGAAAATGCCAAAGCAAAATGACCTTTATTATCCTTAAAGCACTCTCTGACCATAGAATATAGTCTATCGCGTAGTCATAAAATGATAGATGATTATTATCACTGAAAGTGAGTCCTGCAAAAAAAATCAAAAAGTAGGAGTAAACTCTTCACTGTCTTTTCCGATGTATATCGCACAAATCATGAAATGCAAGAGGAAGAGGGCGTTCTTGCAGACACATGGTGAAACTAAGTTACAAGAAGCTCTAAAAATTAGCTGTCAGCGAAGGCTCGAAGCTGTGATATTTTTAAATTTTTTATACAGAGCAAAATTGAGGAAGAATTAATAAAAAAAAGTTCTAGCTGTTATCAGTTTTATCAATTAGATTGCAAAGCTTCTTCAGCTTCAGAAAGTCATCACATGCGCAAATATTTTGCCACATTGTCGCCAAACGTTAGCTCCAAGTTGCAAAACATAGTTACCTAACATTTTCTACGATACAACTTTCATACACATATATGCAAAACAAATTTTCGTCTAAATTTATAATGTTATGTAGCTCCTACATATGCGGGTAAGCTGAACTTAAATCTTACCAAAGATATAGAGAAATGATTTCAGCTTTAACCCGTTTGAATATTGTGTTTTTAGCATTACAATTTTTACGCGTTGGGTTCTCAACGTAGAGATACGTATTTAGAGTGATATTTTGTAACAATAGTATTTTTTTTATTGTTCTCGGAATTCATTGCTTTCAAGAGAACGTTTTCTTTCTAGGAGTACACCCAATGTTTAGATTGCATGAGAGATGTCATACTTGCCACAGATCTTGCCCATCATTTGAGAATAATCGAAGATATTGAAACAATGATCAAAGGTAAATTACAATTTGTCTTTTAGACAATATATGTGTAACACTTTTCTGTTTAAAATTAGTGAGTGTCCTAAACACAATTACAACCAAAAGATAGATTAGAGAAAATTTCATTTCTCTGATTACAGGCTTCTTGGGTAATCACAAAACCAAAAGATCCATGGAATTTGAGAAAAAATGTTTAAAAATTGCTGAAGAAGTGTCCTTAAAATGCATATTCCTGTAAAATTCAAATAGAACATAGAAGCATATTTAGAACATCCAGTTGAGTACTTTTACCAGATTTTCTCGAATTTTAAGCATTTTCCATAATCGCCTTCTGATGCTGCTTCTAAAGTTTCAGTTCTTTCTAGTTGAGCTCATTTTCATGGTCCTGTAGTAAATGTTTCCTGCCTTCAATTGTGAACTTCCTAGCACATGGTTTTAGCCTATGGTCCTAACCAATGGTCATGAGCCCTCGAGACAGAATTTCATGGATAACAGAAAACATCCTAAGTATCCTACATTTTGGTTTACTGGTTTACAACCCAGTCTGGTCATAATTTCTTCCAGGCTGAATTCATGGCCCAATAAGTCATTTTGTGTCAGGCTTTGTTAAGAAAAATTACGCAATGGAATATATTAAAATGAAGTTTCCAAAAGTCACTGAGCATTTATGATGTGGTTAGGCTACCTCGGAACACCCTTGAAAATCATATGTTGCCGACTAACTCGAGACACCGTTCGTCATCCGAGACTTTTTTACTCATATAATTTGTTTGTGAAGTTAAGCGTTCGTGATCAGAAGTTCTGTTATAATAATGCTTTATATAGCGATATTTATTGTAAAATAAACACAGACTTTAGAGGGGTATAGTTAATTATTTTAATTTAAATAAGAGTAATTCAGAAACAATGTTTCCTTTTCGTTTCAGAAGGTTTCGATGTAGATAATCAGAAGCATCACCAACTGTTGTTATGTCTTCTTATCACATGCTGTGACCTTTCTGATCAAACCAAAGACTGGAAAAGCTCCAAAAAAATAGCTGTGAGTTGAAGTTTTTTTTCCTTCGAATTCATTCTTTTGAATTTCTTTACATGTTCCTGGTTTCTCAACCTTCTTGGTTATAAAATTAATTAATTCATCATAATTAATCTTTTTCTCTAGATGCTCAGCGAAATTTTGAAACTTAATCTTGCCAACGAAATTCTAAATTACTGTAGTGTGCCCAGAATTAAATATAAATCATTTATATTTACGAATATTTTAGGAGCAAAAGTCTGAGAACTGAACAAAACTTAGTATGCTTATGTAATAAAGTAACGAACAGATAAACTATAAATAATAAGCTTTTATTCACGAATAATGTATGTCTTAAACAAAAATGCTAAAACATGATTTTCACTTTAAAAATTGAGGGGAAGGAATTTAGTAAGGGGAATCTAATAAGGGATGAGGTCGCTTTCATACTTTGCATTCATTAGTTATTCGTCATTTATGGGAGTAAGGTACAGGTAATTCAAAAAATAAACCCCAGTTGTATCCTTGATAGGGATTGATGGGATGCAATCCAAATTCTTAGCCCATCCCATAGTAAAGTAGTCTGAAACTAAGTTATATAGAATTCCCGCTCACGTTTAACTAAATATAAACAAAGAAATCATTTGCTTGTCAGCCATATTATACATGTTATGTTGCTTTAAACAACAATATTAATCTAAGGATTTTATTGCTAACTGAAGAAATGAAAAATCGCATTTGGGGAGAGGAACGAAAAATTTTAATATTTTGGATTATGTTATTATGTTATTATGTTATATTATACACTTGTATTTTTATTTATTTATTTATATGTTTATTTATTATTATTACTTTGCTAATCTTATATCAGAATATTACATAATTCATAATTAAATAAGAACAAAAAATTTAAAGCAGATAATACATTATTCTTTTATATGTATAATATTATCCCCTTAAAAATGAATTGCACGCAATCGATATAATTTTTGCCTCAGTGGTATCCCTGCTCTCTCAATAACCGGAAATTACTGTTCTGGTAAAATTCTATTGAATGAAGCTGGCCTTAATACAGCTGTAACATAGATTATTTCCTATCAAATTTTTCTTTCAGGAACTAATCTATAATGAGTTCTTCTCTCAAGGTGACTTAGAGAAAGCGATGGGTGTCCGTCCTAGTGAGATGATGGATCGCGAGAAAGCCTGCATCCCCGAACTACAGATCGGATTCATCGAAAATATAGTCCTTCCAGCCTACAGGTGAGTGCAACTGTTTGACAAAAGTAGCTGGGGAGATCAAACACTGCAATTAATAGTTACAAAACAAAATTTCCTAATACTGTATACTCCTAAGGCACAAGAAGGAAGAGTTAAGTTAAATTAAAAAGGTATAATTTCACTGTGAGATAAATTTCAACTGCATAACTTTTATGCAATGTGCTTCTATCGTAACGGACCCGTCCTTATATGGAATTTTCTCCTTTCTCACTTCCGGCCTTGATCGTATAATGAAAAGTGGATCCAGTTAAGTCCGAAATTTATCGTTATTAAATCGAAAAGTTTGAATTCGGCAAGGGTATCCTTGAATTCTCAACGTTATCTCGCTTTAAATATCCTAAACCGCTCTACACTCATATATTCCAATGAAATTATTGAGTTCCTCACTTTTATTCTGTCAAATTAAGTGTCAAGGAACCTACTGAACTGCTAAGCAAATAATCGCTTAGGTCCAAGAACAGAAACGTAAACTCAAGAAGGGTTAACTATCCTTTATTCACTCAACATAAGATTAACAGTCGACCCCTTTCTTTGGGCGTACATCAAAGCCTCCACTCGAGCTTAAGAAATAAGAACTAACTAATGACTAACTAAAAAGATTTAGCCGAAGCTAACACAATTCTGAAGTAGTTGACCCGTAATATTAAATTAGGCTGCGAACTATCAAAAGTCACGTGATACGGCTTCGAGAGCCATAGTCCAAAGGCAAACGCGCGCTACTCAGGAATCCTACCTCTGTCTTCCAAGTCAGTTGAACTTGACTTAAATACTATTCTCCTTCTCATTTGCATTCAGCGCAATTCTAAAAACTCATTCTGGTAGAAAGTTGTAAGTTGAAGCTAGACAAGATAAGAAAGATGCATTAAATTAAAATAACTGTTATAAAAATTAAAATATGCGTTATAAAATAGTGTTATTATTATAGACATAAAAGGACTAAATATCACTTGCTGATGTCCACAAGTACTATTATGTGCCTCTTATTTCAAATTCGTAACAAAATATAGTTTTTAATTCTTTGTGTCTACTATGTTATCGGAAAATCCTAGCTGTTCGAATACCGTTCGAGCTTTTAACGTCAAATATTCGAAATTGTATTACGTAATTTTAGCTTTTGACAGCAAATCTAGTAGTATATCAACAAAGAGTTAAACTTATTATATTAAAGTAAGTTTATTAAAATGGTTAAAATTGCTTTATTTCTTCGTTCGTTTCCGTGTTGAAAGTATTATTTAGCTTAAAGCTCTTAAATTATGCGTCGCTGTTTTTTTTTTTTTTTCCCAGTTAGACGCAGATTATTACGCTTATTGTGCCATACTCAGAATTTATTGGTACTGCTATGTAGTATTAAGTATAGTACTGTTATGTATAATTATTACGTTATTCTATGTTTGTTTCAAAACTATATTTTGGCTATTGATAAGCCACATTTCCATGGATAAGTTTCAATGTCTTCTGTGATCATACTTTTATCCTCGAAAACACAGAAGCCAAAGCTAAAAGCCAAATGTTTGATTTCCCAAAATATAGGACATTAAAATTAGATTCAAGAACAAAATTAATAAACAGAAGTAAATTTGTAACAAATAACTGAATAAAACTTTGTAAAACAAATTAATACCCCTTAATTAAAACAAACAGTTACCGTTGGATGTATGTAGCTGAAATATGGAATATGATTTAATTAATTAAATTAATATGATTGACAACACAGCACCTAATAAGAAACGTTCTTGGGAAAACCTTGTTTGATTTCGAAGAATTGCGGACATTTCTTTGCGACTGTGGGACTGTCATCATCTCTGAACCTCTAACTTGCAATCCCAAAGATCCAGGTGCATCAGCTCCCTTAACTATTCCTGAATGATGTTGAAGAAACTGGAGTGCCTAATGTAGACTTGATCGAAATTCTGTCAATTTAATAATACTTATCCCAGTGCACGACGATTAAGTTATGATTGGGCGGGCTTAGACAGCACATTGTTACGACCAATTCAGATTGGAAATTGTCGGACATGAAGATGTTGCTGGAATGTTGTTGAAAGAAAAGTGATGAAAATCAAAAGGAAACAGAAAAGGTAAAAGAACTTTGAGATACTTTTCCAACACGATCTACATGTAGTCATGAGATTAAAATTCTCAAGAGGCTGATTTTATAAAATTATTATTCGTAAAAAATGGTTAGTAATGTGTTGTGACTTATCTCACTTGTCTGACAGTAACATCAAAACAAGCCCACGAAATTCATCGTGGCAAGGCGAGCATGATTGCACCTGTCGTTGGTAAGAGCCTTGAGCACCGTACAGGTGACAGTACGACTTCGCTCAGTTCCAACCCCAGTTTTAATGGAGAACATTTCGTAAATTTACATCACTAGAAATCATTAAAAAACTGTTACAATATGAAAATAATTTGTGCATTGGTCAAATAAAAGGCGATCACAAACTAAGCTTTTGGTTTATTTGGAATGTGCATATTATAGATCGGGCTATTGAGTTTGCCAGTTTTGGCAACTAAGTGTAGTGACATTTAAACAAAACATACTAATCCCCCCCCGCAAAGAAAGGGTATAGTCTTATATATCTCGTTTTACTTGGCCGATTGACAAAATTCAAATCACATTTCTTGTGTTGGATCGCGGACCGAAACGAGCGTAGAAAATAAAGCAAAGATAAAACATCGTGGGAGAAAAAGCAAAGAGAAAAAACATCGCAATTCTAAAATATCCAAGGTATAAAACGTCATGGCAGAAAATAAAGCAGTCAAAAACAGAGTCGGACAAATATCGTGGTAAAAATAAAGCATCTATAAATCATCGCCTAAAAGAAAGAAAACTAGATTTACCATGACAGCCGAAGCGTACACCCCTTTTTAACAACTAAAAAATGCCCCAGTCCTCAAATTCCCAGAAGGCGAACAAGATTTAGAGATTGCTGCGGATGCATCGGAACGCAGTTGGTGGGGTCTTTCTCAAAAAGTGCAGCCGATAGCGCCGATTGCAACCGATAGCAACCTCAACACTGATTGCTACATAAGAAGAGTTATGGAGCCGAAGGTTCTCCCTATTCTTCAACGCATTCTGGGCTCTATATTTCAGCAATAACTTGCCTGTGCACATGCTTCTCAGTCTGCATAAGCCTTCTTTAGGGCACAACAGGTTTTGCTTCATCCATGGCCTGCTCATTCCCTGAATATGTCGCTCAGCGTAGGGGATACACAAAGTACTGATTTCCGACGTTCGTTTTGCTTTTTTACCTTGTAAATTTGTTTGTTTATTTGTACCAATGTCAGAAATATGTGGTATGAATTCCATTCCTTTCCAACAATTTCTTCATGTTGTTGCATTTTCCAAATTATTAATGTGTAATACTATATCCAAACTATACTTTTATTGAGATCAGCAGCATTGTTTTAATAAATAAAAATCATGTTTCTAATGTCATATGTTATGTACCTAAGTGGGAGTAGTTATTTTTTAATTAAATTTTGAAAAATTCCCATTCCCCAGATTTATAACTATTGCAACTGAAAACTGCTTACAAATAACAAAGAATAACAAAAGAGTAGATTTAGATCATCAAACTGAATTAAATCTAATTAAAGCACTAAAGAATTAAAAAATTCTTGCAATGTTTGCTTCAAATATTTATAATTAGAGCTTCGTAATTACTTAAAGAAATGAAACAGAAGAAAAGTGAGATGCCAAATAAATTAAGCAATTAAAATTCAAGACCGAAGAACTAAGAGAATAAGAAGATTATATTTAGTTTGCTTTGCCAACGGAAATCATGAGATAAGTGGGTGGAATCTGCCATTCACTAGTGTAAACTGTTGTAGACACAGGTTGTACTTTTTGACAACCTCTTTTTTTTTTTATTAGGATTCTGGCATTATTATTTCCTGAAATGCATGAAGCCACTACAGCAGTTGATACAAATCGTTTATTCTGGGAACGCATGAGAGACGTCTTCAAACGCCGTTACAGCAACAGCACTTCTTCTTTGGACATGTTTGAAGACGAAAGTTTGGAACAAGAAGTTCTCGCACTCAGTTGTGAATCTGATTGAATCAAAGAAGGCAGTCTATGTACATTACTTCGAATTTCAAACAAAGTGAAAGTTTTATTTATTTATTTGTTTTGGTGCCAAGATCAGGAGAAACTTATGCGTGCGTTGTTGAGGTTTTAACTTGAAAGTGTTGAGGAAGTGACTTATTAATTCAGCCTTATTCGGTAAGGTAGGCTTTATTTTCTTAAATATTAAGCGTATAGAATGTGTTTGCAATGAGTTGAAAAGTACGATAAATGACAAATCTAAATTTTACATGAATCCCGAAGAGCAAAATTTACAGATAGTAAAAGTCTCATTATGTTTAATAAATAATATTTATCTTTAATATGTTAAATTTAAAAATTCCATATTTTACATGCAAAATTCGTAGTGGCATTTGAAAAAAAAATTGATGACTTGATTGCGAATTTTCGACCGAAATTATGCATTCCCCAAACAATAAAAGTTGAATGGCTTTGCCGACTAAGTTTTTCGCATTAGGAATAACAGCACTAGTTATTAAATTTGAACTGATTTCGAGAAAATATTAATTAGAAAGATTTCTGGCAAATTTTGCGTGTAAAGGTACAGAACCTTTAACTCAGTAAATCATAATGAATATTTTGCTGATTTAGCTTTTTGCTTTATTTAGACCATACATGAAGCTAAATTTTTTTTTACTTATGAAAGTCTCCTCCTTCCTCACCCCCTCCCAATCTTCTTTTAAGGTCTCTAAATTTTCTTCCTAATTTTGAGAAAATCGTAATTGGAAAGGATCAATATTTAAGAAAATAAAGTCTGCAGCCCATTTTTCAGAACGCATTATTATACAAGCAATAAAATAACGATGATTAGGATATATCATTCAAGTGGCATTCATGTCAAGCCGGGACATCTGACTTTATAAAATGAGATACAAATTTCACGTAGAAATTCGATTTAGTTTTCATATAACTTCCCTGCTACTAATGTACATTTATCACAAAAGGACACTTCGGTAATAGTCAGCTTCCAGCATATCCTACTTCATTTCATCATCATTACTGAAATCCTGATTTCCAAAGGACCTTTTTTTAGGATGAAACGCTTTTTCATCTCTGTCCAGACTTCAGCCCTTCTGTGATGTTCAGAGTGGAATAAGTATTCATTAACTATATGAAAATGCAAAAGTTTCTGATTGATTGTGTTCATCATTCCCACAAAAAGTTTCTAGCCTTGTGTAGTTTGACTAGAGAATCCTTAAAAGAGTTCTTTAGAGATCAACATTTGACCACTGATTATGAATTAAAGCAGGTTGTCCTAGAATTGTTCAGACGCACTGATAATTTTTTCTACGAAGATTTCAGCAAAATGTTGGGATGGGTGTGTAAATGTAGCAAGGGAATCTAAACACACTTTTCACTCCTCAAAATTTTCTCTTCTATTTTATAAATTCAGAAGTTTCGGTTTGATTTTAACGCATCTCTTATACCCGTATACATTAAAATAATTTACTGAAACTAAAGTGGGATTAGTTTCAGCAATTCGGGTCGAGACAGTAGCCAAAAAAACTGTTAAAACATAAGAAGTAAAATCATATTGATTTATCAAACGATAAAAAGTTCTTATGAACTGTTGTGATTACAAACAACTTTTTACAATGTATTCGCCAAAGCAAAGAACACGGTAACTTAAGTTAATAGTTTGTTTTCGAAAAAATTAAGAGTTTCAGAAACTGTTATGATTTTTAGTATCGTACCTTACACAGATTTAATGCAGATATAATGTGACTATCATCTTTGCTGATAACCAGGAAGTTTACTGAACGACTTATTTTGGTAGTTACGAAAAGCGTAACTGCATTGGTGTGCAAAACTTAAGCAAAAGGTGTTCTTTTTGCGATAACTCATCTGAGAGACATGAAATTCAGAAATGAGCGACAGCATTTTGTATTTAAACGATGACAAAAGCATAGTTGCGCTAAAATAAATGCAATGCATACAATATGGAATCAAACAAAAAAAAAAGGCTTTATTGAACTCAGAGTGTTGTTACACATGATCGTCTGTACAAGAGGAAGAACAACAAGCAGATGTTCCTTAGTATGGGATATGCCCTCCTCTTACTGCAATGGTCGCTTCGCACCATCTCTCCATACTCAGCACCAGATTCTGTAACAGATCTTTGATTGAGGAAAGAGTGTCCATTCCTCAATCAGCGTCTCTTTCAGTTGTTGGGTGTTCCCCTGAGTTTGTAAGCGTGCCCCAAGACGTCTCCTCAAAGCATTCTACATATGTTCTATGGGATATAAATCAGGCGAATACGCTGGCCAATCCATTCGAGTGATATCTTCAATTTCCAGTAGCTTCTGAAGAGCAGGAGTCCGGTGTTGCCGTGTATTGTCATCCATAAAAACGAAGTCTGCTTCAGGGGCAACTCGGAACAGATGCACTTGGGGAAGGATCATCTCCTGATAATAGCGATCTCCGGTTACAGAAACTCTGTCGAAAACATGGAGCTCTGTCCGCCCGTTCGGCATAATACCTCCCCAAACGAAAACTCCAGGACCACCGCAACGGTCTGTTTCCGTTATGTTACTGGGATGAAACCGCGTCCCGACCTCTCTCCACATCAACTGGCGTTGAGAATCGCTTGTGGCACTAAAACAACTCTCATCCGTACAGAGGACACCATATCATTGATGAGATGTCCAGTTTTTGTGCTCCTTGCACAACTCTAAACGGTGGCGCCGATGACCAACTGTCAAAGGGATGCCGCTTTCAGGACAGCAGGCGAATAGGCCACCTTTGTGAAGGGGTCTGGACACATAAACCGTGACACTTGTCGCCCTCTTGCTGTACACAGTTGCTGAGCTCTGGCGCTTGCTGACTGGTTTCGGGCTCTTTTCGCCTGCAAGACGATATATCAGTCATGCACTGCAGTTTTGTCTTGGGTGGGCCACCACCGACCCTTCTGACAGCCTGTACCTACGGTTTGGAAGGCTATCCAAACTCGCGAAACGACACATGTTGATTCCGAACTCTTTAGCTAAAGTGGTCGCACTATGCCCCTGCTCCAGTTTTCCGATCATTCTTCCACGTGTGAAGTTATCCAGGTGATTTCTTCTAGCCATATTTCACGAAAACTGCAACTGCTATATGTTTGATGCATAGTTTTGACCTTAATAAGTGAAAAATATTTACAGAAAAATTCACCGATTATATTTTATTATCACAATGCTCTGGTCTGGCCTCTGTAATGTTGTAGTGCAGAGTTTTCTCGGGAGACGTTAAAAAACGCCTCTTGTTCTCTTACATCATTTTGAGTGAAAATAACGATACGCGACAGAAATTGCAGGGGGATTTTTTTCAAGAGGTTTCAAGAGGATAAAATGAGAAAAAGAATGCGAAAAACTATTACTTTGAAAACTATAACGCATTATAAATAAGTAAAATATTATAAATAAATAACATTAATATATTGCATTAAAAAACTACTATTTAAGGGAAGGAATGTCATATATTGTTTTTCCTTTTCTTGGTTAAATTTTGCTTTCATCTGAAGTATGACATTTAATAGTTTTCACGATCCGCGCTGTTTCGACCTTGCGCAGAGAATAATTTTTATTTATTTATTTATTTTTTTTTTTAAGAGATTTGTAATTCTCGGTGTAAACTCAGTACCTCTATATTTTTATGATCTTCATGTTCTTCCTGAACACGTCTTTTAGACTCAAACTGAAAACCTAACCCTGAAATCCGTGGAAATCAACGAGAATAAACTAATGACATATAACAGTAATAAACTTATTTCAACTAGCAGTGAAATAGCATTCGAAAATGACACTAATAATATGGACATGAAGCTAAGGTCCAAGAACAAATGTTAATGCATATTGCATCACTGGCCAGATGTGTAATCTAAAGAGAAAGTAAGTAATACACAATTGGCGTTAATGCCCCCTAAATAGCCCACATAGTAAATGCTGTGCCAGAAGCATGATTTTTGAACAATTAATGCTGTAAAACGATAATTTGAGAAATGATGGATGAGGGAATAAATGACGTCATTTATGCTGAACGTTATTCTGGACTAAAACGATACATGTAGGGGGAATCTGAAGATATATGACTCGAGGGTTTTGTTTACTTCGAAAGAAGATGACTACGGATTGCTAACATTAATCATTTGCTTAGAGCACATTAAACATATTCGAAGTAAAACAAGTGTGTTTAAACCTATTTGCAGCAAAAACATTGGAGTGTCATGTTTTTCACCACAGAAGACTAAATACGAAGAAAATATTTTTTGATTATGGAAATTAACTAATGTAATAATGCACAAAATGCCATAGTGAAGTTGCGAAAATCAGAAAAGGTAGGTAAATCAAAGTGACCATAGCTCGTCATAAGTAAATAGTTGAATAAATAACAATGCATAACTTAAAAGACCACAAAGCCGGTAAAAAAGACTATTTCTCTGTTTGCATATCGTTAATTATTTTGAAACTGCATAATGTTACATTTTGAATGAAGGACTGCAATGAATGTTTCATATTTATTGTTTAATTTTATCCTTTTTGGAATATTTTTTTTTTTTTTTTCAAATTTTGTACAAAAGTAAATATAAAGTAGATCTTGCTTTTTTATGGCTCTAAATTGTTTCTTTTGAAAACATAATGTCCTAAAAGTTATGATCGAGAGGCAGTAAATATCATAACATTTTGGTAATGGCAGCTGATCAGAGCATTCATCATAAGCGGCTTCATAGCTTCCTTCTGCATGCTTTGTCATAATCATTTGTTGGAATTCATTTGTTCCACTGTGTCCCTCGACAAAGTATAAATAGGGAATACGTTTTATTTCGAGCTTTTTTACGTATCACGAGAATACTTTCATGAATATGAACGCAATATATGACATGTAGGGTTGTAGAACCCTACGCCCCCCCCTCACGTAGGGTTTTTGTAAGAACAATGAGAAAAATTAAAATTACTTGCGATCTAATACCACTAATTAACATCACACTTACGGCGATGATAAGGACAAGAGAAAACTAACAAGCCTGTCCTCGCATAGAACCGATACAAGCCGAACTCATTCGGTTCAAGTGAAAATATGACTTCAGTCCAATGATTTTGCATTCTCGTAAGAGATAAAATAACGTTCCATTTAATGTTTTTAAATGGCAAAGCAAAGTCTACTGAAAAATATTAGTAATTGGGAGGCTTCTGATGCAACAGGTTTGAAGCAGTACATGAAGACAAATATCTCTAAACTATCAAAATGTGCAGACCAAACGTGTACAGAAAAAGAAACAAGATATTTAATCGAGATATTACAGTAAAACAGTTAACTGGAAAGGCTTACTAAAATTACTAGACCATTTATGTGTAAAACTACCGTTCGCAGAGAATTTCGTGTCACGGGCGTGCGGCCGCATTTGATCTTAATAACAGTACTTATTGAATAAGCGCAGTGCATTAGTCATCTGTCCAATCATTAGCATCATGAAACTGAATGGTGTGAACTACCTAAAGTCGTACGAATTGTCTAGCTACCATGTACAGCAACCTAAAGGCTGTCGCATTCTGATCCAATATTATCAGCTAAGGATGATCATTATTCATGAATAGTAATTCTATCATCTGTTGAGACACTGACTGATGTACATTTTTCATTTATGTAAAATTATAAACAAAGGGATGCTAAGGCATTTCTTTCTGCTCTGAGTGATCAGGCAGAATTTTTAATAGCTTATTTTGCATATACAAAACAATAATATAAAAGGTATTCTAATACCTTGAAAATATAACTATACAATTTACATTCAGTGTATTCATAAAAAATAGTCTTAAGCAATTTTAAAAGCGTGATATTATTTCTAGCACAATGATACAATGCTATGCACATATTTTAATAAGTAATATTTTCAAATTATCAGCTTTGTTTCACTGATTAAATAAATATTTGCATTTCTTATTTATATGATAAAAATTCCATAATATGTAAAGGAACTTTTATGATGTATGGTGCAATATTTACATGAATACAAATGATGCAGTGAAATAATGAGCACCTAGTTACTACAATTATATTAATTCTAGGAATATAATTTATTGATCACATGCTGCACACGAACATGCAATCAACTGTATTATAAAACATATTCGTTCTAAAATAAGCTATTATTATTATGATAAATGATTTTTTTTTTTCACTTAGGATGCCTAGTCTGTTTCAATGATTTTCTGCCAGAAATGAAGTGCATATCTAACTTCTCATAATCTCCATACTATATACCGTAAAAGTCCTTATCTGGCCTTTATTCGTGCAACCGTTGGTCATATACTTCCAATTACAATGTGTCATATCGCACAGATATTCATGTTTTGGCATTTTTGAAGATATCGATTTTGTAAAAATTACGATATCTAACTTTTTATACGTTCCGTTCCTATACTTACATTCAGAACAATTTTCTACTTGTCATAAAAAAAAATAAAACACACACAATGAAAACTAAACAATATATATAATTTCAAAATTTGCGATTTTTGATGTCATTTTCAATTTATATTGAGGGATCGGTTAATAAGTGAATTAGAATAATTGGAGGTTGATTAAATAAACTCAAAGTATTCACATTAAGTGATCCTTAAATTATCAGTTAAATGCCATTGAATTATATTCCTTTGTGAGTTACTTGTATGTAACAAGTAATAATTTTAGTACAACTGATATGCCGAAAGTATTTTCACACAAGTTATTTACGAGTTTTCAAACATTATAAATACGTTACTTTAGAATCATAATCTAATGATCGTACGAAAATTCTTTAAACTAAAATATTCTTAGTTTTTAATTTTTGAAAATAATATTACGATTTGGTTAAGTGGCAATACTGAAGTCTGCTAGTGTTTTCTAGAGCAGGAATTCTATGTTCTTTGAATACGATCTCTATCATATTGATCAGTACTTTACACAATATCTGCATAAAAATGTTCATAATTTAATCGCTTATCAACCGAAGCTACTTCATAAATTGGTACTTTATTTTTACGCACAATTTTTTAAGCACATTCCATTCTTCAGTTTGTATATGACCCTTGAATTTGATTCCTGACTTTAATATCAAATATATCGGTTAATTTTTTGTCATATGGGAATCACATTTTTGTGTTTTATAACAAATACAAAATTTTCCTAATTATAGATAAATATAAGGACCGGGGGAACTTTACAGTATGGCGCTTAATGCGATTTTGGCGTGACACATTTGCCCACGTCTATTTTGATAACATTAACTGAATGGCAACATTAAACGATAACAAAAAATGTTCTTCAAATCAGCAACAGAATTTAACTAATTTAACAAAAATATGAGTAAAGATATATAAATACTTATCTCACAGCATTTTAAGTAGGAAATAACTCGTTACTAGTGGATTATCTTCAAGCGTTATGTAAAAGTTCCTTTATGAACTATGTCTAATATTTCTATAAATTATTTGGCCAATGTCGTATGCTTAATTTTAATATTTGGAGGGTGTCCCTTATATCAGCATTTATAGAGAATTCACCAATTTCATCTTTACGTTCTTCAGAAAGTTTACTTTATGATATGCTTACATTTGTTTCAGAAAGCCCCGAGCAGATATTTCCTGTAATCTTCTCTCTAAGAAGATCTGATCGTTCTTCAAATCAATAGAGTGATTAAAAATCTGTTCCAAACTAAACGAAATGTTGATTTTTTGCCTAATTTTAAATGGTTGACTAAAAGAAAAACAAGCAATTTATTGAGTTAGTCCCTTAATATGTGATAGTTTTCAATCATTTAGCAATTTTCAAAATTTATTTTGAGCTTATTTGAAGAATTTACTTCAGTTTGAATAATTCATTCAATAACATTTTGAAAACATTAACCAAATTGTTGATCACAATAAATTGATAAATGCAAAAACATAAATATTTGCATCATTTAAAACATTTTTACAAGTGGGAGTATAAGTTTTCGACCGACAATATACATTTAATTTTTAAGTTATGCATAGAAATCTGTTTCATCAAATGAAGACTTCTCACACAGGTTTCAATTGCATATTTTTGGCTTAGCTGTAAAATAATCAGGAGTTTAGTTTTTGAACAATGATGTAATTTTAAATCTATGTATATATGCAAATTAATTTATAACTATATCTACTAGCTATTAAATGTATTTGCTATATATGAAAGATAACTTTCAGAAACCATTTTATTAGTAAAATCGGCATTAATTTTTTAATATTTAGCTCTCATTTTTACATTCAGATAAATTCTGCCATTTATAAGGAAACAGATTTCGATATCGTAACTGAATCATGGAAACAGCATAATAGTCAAGTAATACTAAAAGGAAAGTATACTGAACATATCGATAAAATATCTGTACCGGAAAAGAACTAAAGTTAAAATAAAATTACTTGCAATAGGGGAAAATGCTTTTGTGAAACAATTTTTTCGAGCTATTAACCTTAATTTCAGTGTTCGTATTTTTTACCTTACAGTAATTTTATTTTATTCTAATTTCTAATCTCTTAATTCTATTCACGTTCATAATTCAAAGCTTTTTTTCTCGAAGATAGTCTTAGTGATTCTTAGAATATTGTTTAGAGTGTTTAAAAAGATTGGGTGCATCCAATGCAATGGTTATGTTTGAAGATGATTTACTACGATTGTGCATTGGGGGAGGGGTCCTGGAATAATTCCGAAAAAGACGGTGAAAGCGATAAGATACTTCACCAAAAACTTGAGTGATCAAAGAACAACAACTAATTTTTCTACGTACGGTATACTGATTATAAGTGTGCGCTTTGATGATCACTTAAAAGTGTAATAATTTTAGACAATAAGTTTAAAAACAATTTTTAAAAAACTGCAGTTGAATTCAGGTACTTTCGTCCCATTTTGAAGAAAACAGTTGAAAGCCCTATGGGTTTGTACATGAGAAATTTGCATTTGCTCTAAAATGCATTAAATACCAATATTTTCATTTCTTACACATTTTAATCAGCAAGAATTATCACGGGTTTTTCTTAAATAATAAGCTATCACACTTTGAGAAATAGATGGTCCATAACCACATTTAGAAATTTAAGTTAAAATTTTTGGATAAAATGTGCAGACTTAACATATTTTATGTTCATATTAATAAACATAAACATATTTTATGTTCGTACACATTTTTGCACACGGAAATTAAGTACTTTTAAGGACCATTAAAGAAAAAAAATTAGGACCTATGAGTAATGGGAACTAAATAAATTCAATTAAAAATATTATCTATGCCTGAACTTCACTTTTGTAATGCGACCTAAAAATAAATTAGATCCGTAACTAGGATGCATTATTATTAAATATGAATTAATTAACATAATTATTAATAAGTTTGAGAATAAAATAAACTTTATGAAATTTATAAAGTAGAATTAAATATTTTACACTTATAATAGTTGGACATATTTGAAATAAGATAAGTTGTAGAGACATTAGGATTTTTTTTTTTTGGAAGACGGCGAGATGAAAAATTAGCAGCCGCCTTCGCCGGGAATCGAACCACGGACC